CAGAACACTGGACCTCAGCACCTTGTGCCCCAATGGTGCCCTCTCCTCCTCCACTGGGTTTGAGCTGAGAGGACGGGAAACGAATAAGCTAGATGAAAAAATGATTTTTGACGCCCTTAAGCTGAACGGTGACATCATTCGAACAGCTGGCGTGCCCAAAGCAAAGTATCACACAGAAAAGAAAGAACATAGGAGATCCTGGAGGATGCTTGTCTTGCCAAATTTTGCAGACTCTGCAAATAAAAGTGAATCTTCAGTTGCCGGAACTTTTGAAATGACAGGCTTAGCAGCGAGAAGCCCAGAGGAATATGGCACAAATTCTCTTACTTCCGAAGATGATGATTCAGGTCTGTGCAGCCCTCAAACAGAGAGGGAAGGAAAGCAAATTGGGCTGTCAGAAAGACCCCATCTGATTAGAAGCTTGTCTTCCATAGAGGACATTCAGTTGATAGGCAGATTTGGAACATTTTCCACTCCTATGTCTAGCAGTGAACATAACATCTCAAGGAGCTCCCTTCTCAATGGACCCAACCAAGTGAAGTTGCAGGATACTTTACACACAAAGCATAGAGGAGGGAAATCTCTGTTGAGCCTGGAAAGTCACCAGGAAGAAGGAGATGGACCTTTTAATCCAGGGACTTCTTCACAAAAGGATATCTCAGCATATGCAGAATGGCTCCAGGAGAATAATCAAGAGTATGACATCACTGTAGACGGAAAGGACTTGAAGAACAGCTCTGAAATTAACGAACCATTAGAAAACCATGACAGGATGATTGAAAAGGATATTTCACCTCAGGATATGGATATCTATTATGAAGATGCAGGTATACCTGCTGATGAAATGGATTTAGTAAAACATGCACACGTTCACCAAACAGAACACAATACGATACATACAGATCCAAATGAAATTCAAATTTCTGCTCAGCCTTTAGAACTTGAGAATACCTCATGTCACCAAGCAAATCCAGTGAGAACTGACGTCAGTTTCAGGGTTGCAGGCATACCTATAGAAGAAACCTTGGATACAATTTATAACGGGCTGAGGTCTAATAAGGTAATTAAAACATAAACACATTTTGTAATATTGGTATTGACTTTTCCATTGTTCGGGTTTGGCTTCTGTGATTTCCTCCTGAACTTTTATGCATGTGTTTGGTTAATCTTTCCAAGATGGTGCCTAACATCATTTGGTCGACATATGTCAGAAGACAGAAATTGGTAGATGATCATTTTGCTAAATTGATTTAAGGGTAATTTGTGACAGGGTCGATTAGGTCCAGCTGTTTCATCTTCCAGATGGGACCTGCCTCCCTTGAGATGAAATGCTTTCATGATGTGTTGATGCTCAGCTTCTCCCTTGCCCTTCCTTTTATTTCTGATAGCACAAATTGCTTTTTAGTTCTTCAGTGCCATTCAAGGCAGATAGGCCTGTTTTTTTCCATCTGATAATCCTCTACACGTTTCCCTAGCAATAATTTCTTTGAGCTTAGTGAGAATGACTTCTGAGTAGGCAGGCATAGGATTGAACTATGAACTATATAAATGGCAATGATTGTTATGGTTTTCAAATCATGCAGATTAAAGACAAGCTATGTGTATTACAATGGTTTCTTTGCATCTTCATGCCAAGACATACTTCAGAAGTGCCAGGGGTTTTACAAGAGTCATGATCATTGGGCCAAGTTGTAGAAAGAAGGAAAGTAGACACTTATAAAAAGAGGGCATCTGTAAATTTCACATTTTTAGATCTTGCTGGTTTCATCCAGTTTGGTGACACCTGACTTTATCTCAAAGTTCATTGATAAGCTTTTCCAATGAAGTTAACTTCTTGTATTCACATATTAATTATATATCACTAAACCATTCTGAGAAAATACTTGGCTTGGAAAGTTGTGGAATTGCCTTTAAGAAATGTGGATTTTTGAAACAAGAATAGAGATCTATATCCAAAGAATTATGAGGCTAGTTTCACAGAGTTCAAATGTAGCTGGAGTTGTATTTTCCTGTAGTCGGATGCTCTTTGTTTTTGGAATTTTAACAGGAACTTCAAATATAACTTAATGTAAGAACTTGTGGAAAGAAGTCAAAAGACAAAGTTGTCCCAAAATTACTACCTGAATGTCATTTTTTGCATCTCGGTTATCATTGCTAGTTATTTATTGTTCTAAAGCAGGGGTGTCAAACTTGCATCATCACATGACATATTGCAACTTTTTTCTCCTTTGCTAAATGGGGTGTGGGTGTGGCCAGCGCGTGATGCATCTGGCCCGTGGGCCATGAGTTTGACAACCCTGCTGGCTCTTAAGGGGATGTTTTAGTAGGTAGTCCTCGACTTAATGACCACAATTGGGACCAGATATACCACTATTAAGCAAGGCAGTTGTTAAAAAATGAGTTGCCATGGTCGCTAAGCAAATCATTGCAGTTGTTAAGTGAATCACACAATCATCCAGCTTCTCTCGTTGACTTTGCTTGTTGGATGCTGGCTGTGAAGGTCACAAATGGCAATCACATGGCTCTGGAATACTGCAACCATCTAAAATACTTGCTGGTTGCCAGGCACTCAAATTTTGATCATGTGACCATAGGGATGCTGGTTAATTGACTCTTTTCAATGCTCTTGTAACCTCAAAAAAAATAACAACTAAATCAATGGCTACAGGTCAACGACTACCTGTAATATACTTTATTGAAAAAGGCAAGAGCTTAATGCACTAACCGTGGGTATTATAGATTCAAATGTTTATTTGCAAAAAGTTATGTGAATTTGCCAGTGATTATGCTTCCTGTTTATTTTGAAAACCTTATTTTTTCATATACTTGAAATGAATGAAGGATTGGATACATCAAGAATAGCATTATGTTTGTAATGTGCTTTGCATTCCACAAATATGCATAGTATTCTTGGTGGCTATTACGCATCTTCCCTTTATCCCATGAAAAGATTGTTAAAATGTGTAAAGAAAGGCATCTACATGTTTGGGATTAATCCCATATTTAGTTTTAGTTTCTCTCTTTATCCAATCTGTAACTATTTCAAGGAGGAATTTGACATTCTTCTATTTCTTTGCATGTGAGTGGTAGCTTCTATTATGAAAATTTGTAGGATTTGTAGCTTGAATGCTCTTTTTTAGCATAATAAATTAGCACATGCACCATCCAGTTGATACACAATTGGTCAGTTTTCAGACTTTCTTTAATTCAGCGGTCTCCAACTTTCATGGCTTGGCAGACAGGCAGAGGCGGCAATAGCGGAAGGGGTGGGGTGGGGAGAAGGGATGATTTCCCCCGCATGTGTCACTTTCACAAATGCAGCTTTGAGCACAGGTGCACGCTCAGCCACCACTTCTGCAGCCCACTTCCAAAATGGCAGACCGGGGGTTGGGGACCCCTGCTTTAATGATGCCAACTTTCAAGCACGTGTTGTTTTCAGACTCTCTTCTTTTAAGATGTAAAACTTCTCATAAAATTCTTTGTAATTGGAGGCAGAGGAATAGGGTCTACTATGTATGTGTAAGCTTATCTCCTACATATGTACTAACAAAACTTTGAGTAATGGAGGTTACACTTTTTGTATCAATTAGCATTCTTTGTATTAATTGCCACCAAAGTCAAATGTGCCAGTTATCCTTAATGCCCAAGCTGCCTGAGGGCTAAAGGTTGTATATTATTTGTCCTAATTGATTTTGCCATCTCAATAACTGGGGGATCCTTGCTGTTGATTGCCTTTTCATATCCTCAGATGACTCTTCAGACAGATGGATTGAGTTTATGATATTTACCTCTTTATTATGGTGATGTTATGGTTAAACCAAAGGAGGATCTCATGGAAATACAGCAGTGCTATTTACTGTTGGTTTTACTGTCACTTTTTGTAAGCATTCCTGCTGCTTTTAAAAAGGATAATGCTGTTCATTGCTTTTGCACCAGAGTTAAGACCAAATCCAGTTCCATTGCTGCAGTTGCCATGAGGTTTTGTGTTGTTGTTGTTTTTTTGCCATAAAATAATACTGTTTTAACACTGCAGCTGCAAATCCAATCACCCATGAGCCACTTTGAAATAATGACAAGCTCTTTCAGATAAAACTAAGGGCACTGGACTGCTTTTAAACTGCAGCTGTACAGAGTACTGCATCTGATGCTGGTTCTGTTCCAATGAAAGGATTCCAAACTATTGTCGCTGTTGGGCATAGGTAGGAAAAAGTATGTTGCCTAGTGGTGTGTGTTTCCAAATAGAATGAGTGTGAGTGTATATATTCGTGTAAAAAGTTAGGTAGAACTTTGGAAAAACATCTTCAGATTACTTTCTCTAGCTATTCTCTTCAGCCTGGCATGAATTGCCATATAGGATACTGATTTTGGGGGTCTCTGTGTTAGAAGAGTCAAACATTAGGATTGTTGATGCTTTACAAATAAGAGGGGGAAAAGTACTTCAGATCTCAGGTGGAATGCAAGATATTAAACAGCCATAGGTTTTTTTTCAGGGTTTCTTATGAGCTTGAAAGAAGATACAAATTTAAGAAATCCAAAAGTAATGAGAGTTTTAAAGCGCTAGCACATTGTTTTAGACTTGCACAGAAGATTCAGGCTGTTTGGCTAGTGTAAAGAGAAAGATGGCATTCACACTGAAGGTTGGAAGCTCTTCTTTCATGTTATTTTTGAAACATGCACAACTCTGTTAAACTCAGACTATTACGGTCATATTTTCACTTTTAACATGGTAGTTCATGGCCACTTTTGTAATGGTTTGTCAATCCTTAGTGTCTGCCTATCTATCTAAACATCTAAATTTGCCTTGAATTGCTTTAGGCTATTAAGTGCAATTTTACACATACATTTTACATGTAAACATTATCTTTCAACACAGTGTGAATGCATGCTGTGTGTTTTGACTTCAAATATCTGCTCCGGTTGCTGCTTTTGTTCAACATGCTCCAGGCTCTTTTGTCCAAGTAGTTTTGCCTTTTACTTTCTTTTTCTTTTTCAATTGATAGGCATTTGAGAAAGAAGAGATTGAACCACTGCAACTTAAGCAGCAGGAGGTAAATTGGTTGGGTCAAGGCCTTATTCAGAGTGCTGCTAAAAATGCAAGTACTGATACCCTTGAGCAGGATCTTGAAGACGTTAATACAAGGTGGAAAACTCTCAATAAAAAGGTACTAAGCTATGTTTTCACTGTAAATACTTGTTGCTTTTACTGGGTTGTTGTTTCCGATAACTCACCACAAAGTTGCTAAATAGTAGGCCCTGCTGAATAACATGTAATCTCCCAAGTCTTCAGCAGCCACAGAAAGCTCCTGAACGCAGACTAATATTTCTCACATGGACCCAAAATATTGTTTTAAAAATGACACCTATAAGTAGCATTACATATGGTTTTGGAAATAATTTGGAAAATATATTTGGATTGAACAGGGTGGTAATATAGTACCTGTCTACATCTTTTAAACTGAAGAGTCAAATGGCTGCTCCAATAGCTGCAACATGTTGTGGGACAACAGGTTTCTCCTTTAGAAGAATTGCAGCAAGGATTGCTGTTAATACTCTGCATCTAACAGAGTGTACCAAAAGTCAAACCTCCTAGGCCAGTTGCATTATATTGTATTAATATTTTTTCAAAGAAATTATTACTATACTTAGGAATGTTCAATGCTCATGCATCAAACGAGAAAGGAATAATTACTCAATATTGTTATTCTAAATATAAAATATTTATCATATAATCAATATAATAACATGATAAAGTTGCATACAGAGTGTACCAGAAGTCAGGATCCATCGACAATTTAGTAGATTAAAATCTTCAGATAAATTCTTGGTGAGGCCTGATTTTGGTATTCTCTGTATATAAGTTTAACATGTTATATTATTATATGATGCATATTTTATATTATAATAAATAGCTATTTATAACATAAATCTCTATACATTTATTATGGTCATAAGTTTAATATTTATTTAAAAAAATTAATCATCACATTCCTCCAGAGCATCTTTTTTGGATTTGAATATGAAGGAATACATAGTGTTAGACCTATCATGTCTGCTGGTAACGCATAAAGTCAGATGGTATCATTTTCAAAGTCTTGGAAAATATAAGAAAGTCTACCCTAAACAGACCATTATTTTATTAATGGGAATAACAGCTAGTAAGTACAATGCCATTTTCTGTTCCATACTGATTGAGGACAATGGAGGAGACACTTCGTTTGCCATCCAAGCATTGATGCAAAATTGAAGAGAGAAAGAGAAGAAACTGTGAAGATTATCTTTTCCATTCTATATGTAAAATTAGGTCTTTTGCCTTGATGGCTGACTAAATATATTGTGGAGATAATTTTAAATAATTATTTAAGTACAGGCAATCCGCAACTTACGACCACAATGAGCCCCAAATTTCTGTTGCCAAGTATGACACTTGTTAAAGTGAGTTTTGCCCCATTTTATGACCCTTCTTGCCACAGTTGTTAAGTGAATTACTGCAGCTGTTAAATTAGTAACGTGGTTGTTAACTGAATCTGGCTTCCCCGTTGACTTTGTTTGTCAGAAGGTCGCAAAAGAATCACATGACCCTGGGGCACTGCAGCTGTCATAAATACATGTCAGTTGCCAAGCACCTGGATTTTGATCACGTGACCCACGGGGATATTGCAGTGGTTGTAATTATAAAAAAAGGGTCATACATCCCTTTTTTCAGTGCCATTGTAACTGTGAATGGTTATTAAATGAATGGTTGTAAGTCAAGGACTACCTGTGCTCAAATATTATCACATCCAGGAAGCATTGCAAATATCAATAAATACCAGATCAAGTGCTTAATTTTTATTCTTCTAATTTCCTTCAGTTTCTCAAAGGCATTGAGATATCAGAGGGTGCATTGTGGGCAGAGGATAATGTATTCAGTGTTGCGCTTCTTTTATAATTTTTTAGGTTTCACAAAGAGCAGCACAGTTGCAAGAAGCATTGTTGCACTGCGGGAGGTTTCAAGATGCTGTTGAAGCTGTTCTCAGCTGGTTAATTGATACAGAAGATCTTGTAGCCAATCAGAAGCCCCCGTCTGCTGAATTTAAAGTTGTGAAGGCCCAAATACAGGAGCAAAAAGTAAGTGAAAGTTAGTTATTTATCTTTATTTTTTATTTATGTATTTTTCCTTTCATTGTGGAGGTGGGGATACTTAGAAGGAAATGCAGCTATCTTTTCCTGATCCACTGTGTCCACTTTGAGATGGGAAAGGGAGGCTGGCAGAGAAGAATTTGGATGGGAAGGGATAATAGCCTTTTTAAAAAACTCTATTTTTCCATATCCTACCTATTTTATTTTTTTTTAAGAAAGGGGAATTTGCTTCACCTCTGGAAGGGGAGGAAACATAGGCAGGGAGAACAGAATCCAGAGTCTACAGGAATTTATCCATCACCAGCTGCATTTCAGAATGTTCCATGCTTGTTAATCCAGTTAGAGGTATCCAATCAGAGGCTTCAGAAATGAATAAGGTCTCCCCAGAGCGCCTTTAGAAGTGAATACTGAATTATTATTTCAGAGTAACAGAACAAGTGTTTTGAGATAAAAGCAACTGATTCAATTAACTCCCATTTAGATTGGGTTTTTTTTTAGCCTCACACTCGTTCTGTAATTGGAACCTTGCTCCAGGCATACCACATAAAGGATTTTATACTACTTTTATGAACAATCCAAAGAGCATGTTACCTAATTTATTTTTTGTACATTTACATACCAATCTATCCCAGAATATGAGGGAATAAAAATGGAATTTTCAAATAGTCTCTATCAAGGCACTGACAAGACCCAGGCCTTCTTAGCTTCACTAACATTAGTTCATTACTCTGGAGTGCCCTAGATGGATTTTGGCATCATTTAGGCACTTGAATATAAATAGAAAGGGAATGGTCTACATAATCAAATAAACATTGTTTAACCCACAACTCTATTTTCAGAACCAGCCCTTCAAGGAGAAAATGATGGGTATGTTGGGGTCAGGATTAGCAACTGGCAGTTTTTGAGTAAATCTTAGTGCTGGGTGAAAGTCAGCTTCCTGAATCTGCTATATGGGGGGGGGGGGGGGAAAGATGACCTGCAATGATGGCAACAAAAATTTGCACTTTTATTTTTTTTAAGATAGGAGTAGCACCATTTCTTTTTTGTTTCACCTTCTTATAGTTTAATAATAGAATAGTAAAATGTCCACTTGACAGAAAAAATAAACGCATAGAAGGGTATTTATCTTGGATCTGCCGACCACAGAAACTACAGGCTTACCTGTATCTAAGTAGTATGTAGTATGCAAAGTGCAAAACATAACCATAGTCTTCAGAATATAAAGATACTTTATTCCCTAGCACCACAAGTCCTACTACACTACTTTCTCATGGCAGGGCATGATAGTATTCATGAGAGGGATGTGCAAAGAATGTCAGGAATATACACCAATAGTATATACTGTTATATACTAGGGGTCACCTCTAAATCATGAAGATCATCCTAGGTGCCCAGCTAAAGCAAGCAGGCCACCCACATTGTGCAACAGCAATGTATAAAAATAATAGGGGTGGCAGTGAAAGAGGCATCATTTCATACTGCATGAGATTTGTGTCTCTGTGTGTGTGTGTGTTTTGCAAGCTCCAGCTCATCTATTCACACAAATAGACAAGATAAAGTGATTGATGATATAGTTCTAGGTAATTGGCTTCTCAGGTTGGACATGCTACTTGAGAGAAACCTGATGACTTATTGTACAATCACCGGCTAAGGAGAGGAGTGGGTAAAGAGGTGTGCCAGCATGAAGTCACCTCATGGGAGGAAACATGATAGACCAGATTAGTGAAACTCTATCTACTGGGTCCCAAGGGAAGGTAGCAAGTCTGGCAAGAATAATGCCAGGTGCAAGAAACCAGAACAACTTTGTAAATAGGCCAAAGCAGTTCCTCTATTGGTCACCTATATTACAAGAACCTTGCCAATCTGGCTGCATTCCATCGGGAACTATAGATAAGACGTCACTAGTCTGCTCTGACATTTCCTCCTGTATAGTGACTCCACATCTCTTTTCTCTGCCTTTTTAGCTGGTGATTCCAACACATAATCTTGCAGAATGCTAATAGCATTTATGAGAACTTCCAGGGGAGGTGTGGCAAATTGAAGAGAGCTTTGTGAAAGTGGAGCCAACAACCACAGCAAAGACCAAGGAACCAGTGAGTAGACTGGTTCCTTGGAATGTCCCTACATAAGGATAGAATGAGAGATTGCCCACATGTGCTTCCCATAGAAAGCAACCGCATGTGTGATTGCTTCTTGTGAAGAGACAAGACAACAGTGGCTGTCCACAGGTTTGAGCATTGAGAAATAATGGGATCAGTCATCTTGTTTGCAACCACAGCAGAGCCTGTTAAAGGACACTAAGTTCACAAAACCATCACTTTGGGGAAATTGCCTATTTAACCATCTTAAAGCTATTAGAGACTTTTTGCAGCAACAAATTTGAAAACTCTCCGTTCAGTGAATTTATCTTCAACTCTGAACAAGAGAAAAATGAACTACAAGCTTAAACATGTAAAAAATGGGAAATAAACAGCAAAATGCTAAATAAGATTTTGATCTAAGAAAGATACACGTGGATTAAGGGTCAAGATATATTTGGAATATTTACTTTTATTATAAGATTTTGGAATTAAATATAAAAAATAAACAACTTTTCACAGGAAGCATTTATTTTGACTATCCTGGCAATTGCAAATCATAGCAAAAGATAAGTGATGATTTTGGAAACTGGTTACTATGGAGAAAGCCTGATCTCAGTTAATACAGGTAGTCCTCGACTTATAATCACAATTTCCATTGCTAAGCATGACAGTTAAGTTAATTTTACCCCATTTCATAAAGTTTATATTGGATGAAATCTAGATTGAAACCTTTGGCACATAGAGTTGCTGATGTTGCCACACGGAAAAAAGAAAATTAAAACTTGCAAAAACAGAATTACAGAGGGGACATGGAATGTACAATACATGAACACAGCTCAGCACAGAGAAAGATGAAGTAATTCGTATAATTCTGTCATGTCAATCTGTGTGGTTGCTAAAGGATTAGCGCTAGCTTAATGGCATATTATCAATTAATACTTTACAGTTGTCAGGGGATGCATCACATAAAAAGTCTATACACAAGGCATGGATAACAAAAAAGCTTCAATGTAGGCTAATATAACCCTAAAAACCTAATAAACTGAATGTGTATTGTATGAAACCCTGATATATTTTGCTGCATTTTCACAAAATCCTTTCCTAAAGCTACAGTTTTAAGGGCATTCCAAGAGTAAAATCTTTCTTACGATGATCATAGTAATTAGATAATCCCGAGAAAAATAAATACAGCTCTCAAGGCTTGGCCATACACTTAATTTCCAATTAAGAAGTTTAATTTACCTGGATTGTCTCCCAAGCTAACTTTCGGTATACACCCAGGAGACTCTCAAATATAGTTTTTCTTCTGTACAGCTGCGTCTTGGCTGTTTGCTTTTCCAGACAGCCTGGAGAGATGATTCACTAAACACCATGCAGTCTCTTTTCTCAGAGGGTTGCCTTCAATTGTTTAACTGAATACTTCTGTTTTCTGATTAAAACAATTACAGAGTATGCTTTCTATTTTGCTGTACATGCTACCACAAGCTCCTGAACTGCCCATATTTTTTATTTTCTAGAACAGAATAAGCAGGGATTTAATTGGTGAATCTGTGTGTCATTTACTCAGCTATCGACAAATACAATTTTTGTAGGGCAGTCTACAACTGGGGGGTGGGGGGGATGTGTTAATGGCTCCTGAAAGAGTCATAACTTGGTGTGACAGAAACAGTTGTCTATGAAAGTTTATTATATGTCTAAAATTGTTCCACTGAGTTACAACACCATATAATGGAAACTGTAAATGTTGAAGTCCAAGAGACACAAAGCATAGAAAGCACAGGCACTTAGTACTGTAGAAGTGTAGAAGGCTTTCTGCACTTCCCTTGAACTCCATGGTTTATTATTCACAACCACTCCTCCTCAACCCTGTAAAACAACAAAGCCATACTGGTTTCTTAAGTACACTTAATAGTTTACTCTACAATAAATTAGAATATCCTTAAGATATCATAACATTTGTTATTGTATGTAATACAACTATTGTCTTCTAAAAAGGATGGATATGAGTCTTTAGCTGTAATCATATTATAAATAATTATTCCAAAGGCTGATGTAGGGAAGTGTGATGCTAGCAATCGATCATACAGAAATATTGCTGCTTGCAAAATTGTACTAAATCAAAAATATAAAGCCATTGGCTACAGAATTAACAGGAAATGAATTGATAGAAAGTAAAGATAGATTTTGCAAAAATCCACATCTACAGGCATTGTTCAGAATAACAACTACTTTGTATATCCAGGGACAAAGAATGGTGGGCACAAATAATACAATACAAGTCCCTGTCAGAAGAGAATAATTTTAAAATAAGAGTAAGTATTATTCCTAGTTAAGAGGGTTCATTAGCATCTTTTGAAAGTACAATGGACTGCTGTCAGACAGAGAGCCAGGGAAATGGTTTTGAAGCAAATATTCAGAAATCATTACGTAAACAAAAAGGAAGGAAGCATTCCTTAAGTCTTGGGAAGGGAAATAGTATTAAGAAGAGACTGAGGCTGACTTTTCCCTGTTTCACTGAGGTATAAGAAGGTGGGGACGAAAGCACAAGCAGACATTGGAACGTTTTGTTATTGTAGCCTATCTCAATAAAGCTAATTCTAGCCTTCCTGTGGAGTTGGTTTCCTGATCTGGTCTATCTCGAAGAGCTGTTGCATAACTTAATGGAATGTCTTACTCTGAAAGCACTGTATTTCATAACAGCAAGGAAGGCATGCTTATTTGTAGCCAACCTAAGATGTCAGTGAAATGTTGAAACAGAATTTTAAATAAAAATGGAAAATAATAACTCCACAGTGCAACAGGATTTATTTAGTCCATCAGTGCTAAATAAATGAATAACTAATTTTGCAATGGGAAGCATAAATGCTGTCTGTTGCCTGCCATTTCAGATGACAAACTTGCTTAAATCTCTCCCATTTGCCGGTAAGCCAGACCTTGGATAATCAGCCTATTCATCTTGTCAAAAAACCATCATTTCCTGGCAATTTAATTTTTGATTATTTTGTTTCCAGCTTCTCCAGAGATTGTTAGATGACCGCAAGCCTACTATTGAATTGATCAAGCGTGAAGGGGAAAAAATTGCAGAGTCAGCAGAGCCGGCAGATAAAGAAAAGATCTTGAAACAGCTGAGTCTCCTGGATAGCAGATGGGCTGCATTGCTTGATAAAGCAGAAACGAGGTACTTGAAACATCTTCATTCATTTTTTCGTAGAGCAGGGAGCTCTTCTAGCTACAGCAAAGAAAACTTGTAACTTGAAGCAGCCGTGCAAGCATTTTTGTTCTAAGATGAGCATTAATTTTTGAGGCTGGATGAGAAAATGCATTAGCACTGTTAGGACTAGAACTGCAGGTGAAATAAATAAGATTAATCTATTCCCTCGGTTAATAAATAGGCGGATAGCTAGAAGGCAGGCACTATGGATTGTAAAATGGGCATAACGAAAAGGTCTACTGCATGGAAGAGCTGGCAAATTAAGGATTATTTTAATAAAGGATTGATATATTTTGCACCTGTGAGATTTAATTTAAAACAATTCTAACCTAGAGTAAAGTGGTTCAGCAGATCTAACTAATCAGTTGGCAAGTAGTTAAAAATCAATCAGAATAGAGCTGGAAGGGACTTTGGAGGTCATCTAATCCAACCCCCTGCTCAAGCAGGAGACCCTATACCATTTCAGACAGGTGGCTGTCCAGTCTTTTCTTAAAAACCTCCAGTGATGAAGCACCCACAGCTTCTGAAGGCAAGCTGTTCCACTGGTTAATTATTCTCACTATTAAAAAGTCTGTCATTAATTCCAGTTGCTTCTCTTCTTGATTAGTTTCCATCCATGGTCCGTGCCTTCTGGTGCTTTGGAAAATAAGTTGATCCCTTTTCTGTATGGCGGCCCCTCAAATAATGGAATACTGCTATCATGTCCCCCATTAATCCTTCTTTTCTCTAGACTGGCCGTACCCAATTCCTGCAACTGTTCTTCATATGTTTTTGTCTGCAGAGCGTTAATCATCTTAGCACTTTTTCCAATCTCAACATCTTTTTGTAATGTGGTAACCAAAACTGGATGCAATATTCCAGGTGTGATCTTATTAACGATTTATAAAGCAGTACTAATACTTCACTGATTTTGAAATACGATTAACACAAAGTACAAAATGCTGACTAGTGTTTATTTTGATTACTTTTTATTATTAAGTCACAAAGTTTAATTTCTGGATTATTATTTTTTAATTTTGTGAAGTCTGGAATCTTTTATATCTGTATTTGATCCCTAAATGTTTGTTTTTCATTCTCTTGGCATTTTGTAGGCATCGCCAGTTGGAAGGGATTTCAACTGTAGCGCAGCAGTTCCATGAAACCTTAGAACCATTAGTTGAATGGCTAGCAGCTACTGAAAAGAAGCTTTCCAATTCAGAACCCATTGGCACCCAGGCTTCCAAACTGCAACAACAAATTTCTCAACATAAAGTAAGACCTTAATGGGCAGCCTCTTGGAGTTATTTTTATAGCTTACTCATTCAGGAAATTCCTTCTCTACCTTCTTGCCTGAGTTTTTTAAAATGCATTTCTATATCACTCTAATTGGTTTATTCATTTTGCTTTTTTTTTTTTGTTTAATTGTGCTCATATTTTTTTACATGATTTTGTTAAATTTTCTTTTCATTTTTTTTTCTTTCTGCTGCTTTGAAAATTCAATTAGATTATAGAGGAAGACATCACCACTCACAATAAAAATCTACAGCAAGCAATTAATATTGGTCAAATTTTAAACTCATTGTGCTCCAGGGAAGACAAAGAGATGGTTCAAGAGAAATTAGATTCTTCAGAAGGCCGATACATTGAGGTTCAAGAAAAAAGCAGAAGTAGGGCTGAGCTCCTGAAACAAGCATATTGCAATGCTCAGATTTTTGGAGAAGATGAGGTTGAATTGATGAACTGGTTGAATGAAGTCCATGAGAAACTGAGCAAATTGGGAGTCCAAGACTACAATACTGATTTACTAGAGAAACAGCACGCTGAAATGCTGGTATTTGCCATTATTTTCTGTTATTTTTAATTTACCATCATTAATCATACTATTAACAATTTCTTTTGTATTTTGCTAGTTATTTAGTTATTTCTTATAACTAAATCTTGCTTAATGTTTATTTCTTTAGTTACCTCATGAACTCTTTTCTTTTTATTTCCTCATGAACTCTTTTTATTTCCCATGAAGAAAGAAATGAAAGCATTATTCCTTAGCAGCAACAAAAAGTTATTCCTTATAAAATAGAACTTTTAGTGATGATTTCTTTGATGTGTTTATGTGCTGTTGCCTTTTCCCTCTCATTCCCCATATTCTTAAATTGTTAAATTTCATAGGTTCTTCAAGAAGAGATTAAGATCAGAAAAGATAATGTTGATGAAGCTATTCAAAATGGTTTACTGCTTCTTAAACAAACTACAGGTGAGAATGATTTATATCAGTGGCAAGTTAAATAACATATTTTTATTTGATTTTTTTACACTATAAAAGTAACATTTTCCAGAATAAATGTGCTAATCTTTATAATTAATGTACCATTTTTTAAAAAAATGGCTTGAAATCATATTGATTGACAGCTGACTATGACAATATGGTTGAGAGCATAAATTGTCAGTTGGCAATCTTTTTCATTTGGAAAATTAATTTCTGTACTTAAAAAAAGTAAATGTTTGAATTAGTGGTATCAAAAGTGTTTTAAAAGGGATCTTTGAGGAATTAAAACAGTTACAGTTAAGGTGTGAATGAACTGTACCAGGTTTCATTCTATGTTGCATATCTACTGTTTACAAGAGCAAGAAAGGAATAATAAAGGCAGGAATAATAAATAAATAAAAATCTAGTCATCCCTCGTGGCTTTCTTATGCTCCAAAGCCATAAAACATAACTTCAAGGAGCAGAATGGTGATGATAAGTCATCTCAGTCCTTATTGATAGTCTTTTCCTGATGTGATGTTGGGCTAGGATTATAAATACCAGAATTCCTGCCGGAAAACCAACATAACACTCTCTCCATGCTACTCAGACTAGCATTTGTTGCTTCCTAAGGTGTCTTCTACTCTTGATAGAAATAAATATTCTGTCAGTTAAAATGTCCACCACAGCAGTTGTGAGGAAAATTTGTAGGTGGGTTGTTGTTGAGGGTTTTTTTTTTTTTTTTTTGTAACCATTAAAATTTGTCAGTCTCCTAAGTTTGATGGAAACATTTAAAAATGTTTAGCCTCTTTCTAAGCAAACAAGAATTAGATGACTAGCTACTGCTGCGTGTTTTTTGGTAATTATTTGGAATAAGTATTTTGGACTCACTACCAATACAGTGCCAGCCTTTTTTTCAACCCCTTGTGGAAGCCTGAAAAAAAGACTGCCTTAGAATAGAAAGATGCTCTGTTTTTGTGGGGTCCAGACACTTCTGTTTATAGTGTTTTTGACACTTTTTAGCAGCCTGCAGAGTTTTAGTTATTTTCCATTTATAGTTTCACTATGTGTGATCCTGGAAATACTGATTATATTTGTCATGTTTTGTATTTTTAAATTACTGCTTTTATAAATGAAATCACTGCTATGAATGGAGTTTTATATCCATTTAGATATCAAGCAATAATTTAAGCTGTAGATAAATTGCATTAGTGTTTATTTCAGCAGTCGTCCCCCCCCCCCTTTCCTGGAGGAGGAGGGCTAAGTAGATTGTGATAGTGAATGTTGTTCTAAGGTTAAAAATGATTATATATTTTTTAAATTGGTGAACATCCTCTGTACTAAAGATAGTGGAAAAATTGCATTCCAAATGCACATAGCATGTCTGGTTTAGAAGGCAACATCTTGTGAATTTTCTAGACTTTATGAAGTTTCCCAAACGTAATAGTTTGAGTCTGAGAACGGTGATATATATGTGAGTGTGAGTGAGTGTGTAAACAATACATTTATCACTTCCATCTGTTTTATTTCATTGAATTAATTTGCAATGAGTTCATTGGTTACAAAATAACAATGCTGGCATTTTTGGGGGAAGATTCAGATTACTAATATAAATTGCATAGTGAAGAAAACTGTCATTTGGTCTTATAAGAAAAAGAATTCAGTCTACTCTAACATATGGATATAACCCCTAAACTACTATGGGCACATTAGAAGCAATAGGATTAAGGTTGACTTTGCTAATGGGCCTGTAAACTCTTCAGATATTTTACAATAGATCCCCCTATGTAGTCCTCTGCTTTGAAGGGCTATAGATCTCTATATCCAATCTTAATAGTGCTAGATCAGGGGTGTCAAACTCAGTTTCATTGAGGGTCACATCAGGGTTGTGTTTGACCTCCAGTGGGCCAGGGTGGGTGACTGGGGTGGGTGTGGCCCTCTACCAGCGAAAATGGAGCTCACGGCCCCCATTTTCAGTTAGGACAGCCTCCTGCAGCCTTATGCCAGGGAAAATGCAGCTCAAGGGGGCTGCATGTGACCCTCTGAGCTGCGTTTTTGTTGGCAGAGGGCTGCAGGAGGCCGTCCCAGCTGAAAATGGAGCCTGGGAGGGTTGCACACAGCCTCCCGAGCTCCGTTTTCACTGGCAGAGGCACCACAGGCTGGTCCTTTCCTGTTGCGGTCCCGTGGGCCAGGTCTAAGCACCCTGTGAGCCAGATCTGGCCCCTGGGCCTTGAGTTTGACACTCCTGTGCTAGATAGTAAGCTCTGTCATGTTCTGGATGTATATTGAACAATAAAAATTAAACTTTTTATTCTTCTGCTGTCCAATTATGCCAATCAGGGCTTTGAGAAGGGGAAGAGCATGGTGAAAAATGTTCCTCCAAGTCTTAGCCAGCAATATTCAAAATTAGCCAGGCTATATGGAATCTTGTTTGCTCTAGGATTATCAGAAATCAGTGTTTTTATGAAAGTACATTCAAAATCAGTTAAAGATAAAATTTAAAGTACTCCCATATATCTATCAAAATAATCCTGGAGTTTAGGCATCCAAAATAAGTAAAGCCATTTAAAAAAATAAATCCTAGGAATATTGTCCTGAGGGTTGTATATGATTTGCCTATAAATTGTATTATTTGCTGCAATGACCATGTACCTATTTGCCTAACAAACAAATATGCTTGAATCTGAATATTTTCTGGTATACATTCAAGATACAGCATGTTTGTCCGGTAATCGTTTGAGATACTGATAGTCATCTGAAGAATATATTTGCCAGAATAAGAGCCCTAATATTTGGAACCAACTAAAATAATAAGGGACCAGCAAGGCAAGATCCTTAATTTACAGTATTCCCTTACAAAACATCTTAATTAGACAGCCTTTTTTTTTCTAAATCAGAAATTCTGGGTTGCACAATTCATCAGGAACTTATTTGTGAATGTCTACTGTACTGAATGTTGCCAATATGAAAACAACATTTTAATAGAGCTAATTTTCAGTGAACTAAGTCTCTTGATATTAAAAGTTCTCAGAGAAAAAATGAATTTCCTAAATAATGTGCTGTGAGTTTTGGTTATACATTGATTCTTGCAGGTCAAGAGGTCTTTGGGTTGTTTAGGTCAATTGTAGATCAAGAGTTCTTTAGGTTATATAGGTCTAACATTTTCAAGGAAATTATGTTAGCATATTGGACAAATATCTTGGTATATTGATCAGGTTTCAATCTGAATAGAAATAAAAAGTGTCATCAACTGTATATTCTGAGATGTACCAAAGGACCTATTTAATAAATGTTACATTTTCTGGTTGTAATACTTCCTTTAGACGTTATTACATTACCTCTCTGTACCTAGTCAGTTTTGGCAGAAAACTAAACAGCAGAGGCTGTGATTAGTACGTGGATTGGGAATTATTCCAGGTCTGTAAATTCAACTGGGAAGTTAAAACAGCATCCAGACAAGACGTTCCATAATGTGTCCATGTAAATCACAATATCTGAGCTCAATCTTAAAGCAACTTTATTATGTTGGCTTGTATGTATTTTATTTTATTCTAAATCTGGCCCAAACTACAAATTATTAATACATAAATAGGAGTCTTATTCATTTTTGCAATCAATAACTTGATGGTTTGGGGTTCTTTTGGCAATAATATTCTTTTCAAATTTTAGGAGATGAAATTGTTGTAATTCAAGATAAATTGGAAGGCATCAAAGCAAGGTACAAGGATATCACTAACCTGAGTTCTGAAGTGTTCAAAACTTTAGAAGAAGCTCTTCAGCTTTCAGGGCGGCTCCAATCAGCTCACAAAGAACTTTGTTCTTGGCTTGACAAAGTTGAAGTCGAGTTACTTTCACACAACTCTCAAGATCCCAAAGGCAAAGAATTAAGTGAAACACAAGAAAGACAAAAAGTGAGTATCAAGCTAGAAAATAAAGATTGACTTAACATTTTGTTGTTTGGATTTTGGCTTAGTCTATTGCATGTACAAGGTCATTGTGGTTTGTAAACTATATGTGTTATGAAAACATGGGTGATAAACTCTTTGCTATAACAAGGCTAGTCATATACACAAGTAATAATGTTCAAATGTTTACTACTTGTTTGCCATGTAGATGTTTACTAAATTATGATCATATTCATAAACCTTACCATATGAGAGATCAACCACAGTAAAATCACTTCAATGTCTCATTTTATAGAGACAAGAATGCGACAATTTAATATACAAGCTATCCAGTTGCAGACCACACTGTTCTTTTACTAAATACATTTACTTAAGAAATTATTCCACAATAAGATAAACTCTTCCTTATTGCTCAACTGCTAAAATATTGCTTGAAGATGAATCCAGTGTCTACATTCTTGAAGATATATTAAAATTTGATTTTTATGTTATTGCCATTAGAATTAGTTATTTTGCTGGCAAGAGAGGTAAATGTATTATAAATTGTAAGTGACCCACAAGAATTCTTCATATTACTTATGATTACATATGTACTATGGTAAAATGCTGTGTGAATCCCCAGAATGTTTTCAAGTCATATTTTGACAGAGCTTCTCTTCAGGAATTAACAAATTGAAATTACTTTTACTTTTCCCGTGTACAGCTCCTTATTTGCAATAAATCTTTTCATAACTTTGTTATTTCTTGCTTATGTTGATCAAGTTGGTGTTGATAAGAATTGGTGTTAACCCTTATTGACCACATTGCTCGGGGTCTTCAAAGTGGACAATATCTACACCCAATGATTTATCCATTATAGTTGTGGTTTATTATTATTATCCATAGTACTATTAGTTAAAGTAGCATTTATTAAATTATTTTCATGTAATAAATGTTTGGGGTTGATGAACATCCTATGAAGGTTATGAAGGTTAGTGAGTTGAAGAACTTCAAGACCCTGACATAGATTAAACCAAGATGATCTGTCCTCACCTGTTTCTTCAGGTTTTCCATTGGTTCACCTATCACCTCTGTAATTGAGTCCACCCAATGGCTGCTGGTCATTCTCTTTCCTTCCACCTTTCCTAGTATTACAGACTTCATTAGAAAGCTAAGTCTTGACATACCATGTCCAAAGTATTTAAGCGTGGTTATTTGTGCCTCAAATGAGAATTCATTGATTTGTTCAGTGATCCATTTTTTCTATCCATGGTATTTTCGGGAGTTTTCTCTTAACACTGCTTTCAAAAATGTTAATGCTCTTTCTATCCTGTTTTCAAACTTTTCAAACTGTTTTCATTTCCACAGACTCTTAGGAAAAATTATTATCTGTACCATTCTGATCTTTTTAGGTATAGACATGTCATGTCACCTGAATATCTTTTCCTGGGCCTTCATTACTATAGTATCAAGTACTAATTATAATGTATAGTATTTCTTGTCTGCTGCTTCTTTATCAAGAACAGTCAATCCTAAAAGGTAGAAGCTACCTTTCATTATCAGTTCCAAGGCTGTCCTTGCTGTCATTATTTGGGCTTAGTATATTGAATAAGGTAGTGGTCTAGAAACATATGAGTTTAGATCTCTTTGAGATATACAAGCTGGCTGGGTGGCTTTGGGTAAGACCCTCAGTTTCAGCCAACAACACCTTACAGGGTGGGGAAAATTGGAGATAGATTTGTTTATTGCCTCTGTGTATTTGTGCATGTGTGTGTGGGTGATTCAACGCACACAAGGCAATAAAAATACATGAATAATAACAATTGGAAAACAAAATATTGGGGCTTGCAGATTGAAGTTGAACACTCATGGGGAAAAAAATCTGAATCAATTGTGACTATCTGGAAACATTTTGTTTATCAGACCTGACACTCTAATTTTACAAAAAAAAAAACCACCTTGTTTGGAGCTGCTTACATTTTAGATGCTTCCTTAATAATTCTTAGGTTCTTGGTTAGGACTTGAAATATTAAGTTTCCACCAATCTTAGATGGTGAATCTAACTGTAGATTATCCACACTTAATAATTCTTGACTTTTGTTATCTGACCTTGCAGATCATTTTCAGTATCATAATAGTATCATCAGCATAATGCTGATTAATAATATTTTGTCCAGCGTCCCTACATTCAGCATATAATCTTTCTTATAGTAATGTTTAAAAAAAAGAAGGGAAGAGTCACATAGATTTTTGCCAGAGTGTTTATCTCAAATATTCTTTTTTAGGAACTGAAAAAAGAAGTAAAGGATAAGAAAAGTTTATTGGACAATCTCAATGAAATCAGCAGTGCTTTGTTGGAACTGGTGCCATGGAGAGCCAAGGAAGGGATAGATAAAATGGTTACAGAAGACAATGAACGATACCGATTAATGAGTGACACTTTAAATCAAAAAGTGGAAGAAATTGATGCTGCAATTTTAAGATCACAACAGGTAAAAGTAATATTGGTTTAACCTTCTGTAACCGGAATAATACCTGTTTATATCAGGTTTTCATCACACACGCACACACAGAGGGGCAGTTCATTTACCTGGGAATTCGTGTCAAAATAAAAATGTTCTTTTCATTTTACTGTACTTTCCTTGCACACATTGGCTCTATTATTCAAGAACTGGGGCTGATCTTGGGGAGGGAGGGTATCCTGGCCATAATTTTCAGACATGAATCTTAGAACAAAGGAAATCCAGTCATTCTCATAGCCGTCTGTCTCCTGATTGATGCAACAATTGCAGATCAGCCTCATACTGGGAAGCTTAATGAGGAACATCATGCAATGAACTAAGTAAGAATTTCACTAGAACAAAGGATTAAATCTAAATCCTTTTAATGCCTGTAGTTTATGGTGCCTAATACGCAGGGGTGAGATATGAAAGGGTTAACTACCGGTTCGGGATTTACGAACTTCCCTGCCCCAGCCTGTAAATCATCATAAATCGTCATTAGCACATCATTAGCATGCTGCCTGCCCAGAAGCAGCCTTTGAAACAGCCCTCTTTTCTTGTTTTTTTAACTGCAGCTGTGCCTTGTTCGGCAGCTGAAGTTGAAAAATTAGGAAATAAAGATCAAGTAAGAGCCCGGGTGGGCGTGTAGGCAAAAACATCAGCCGACATAGAACTCTTCAGAGCTACTAGTTCTACAGAGGTGGACAGAACCGGTAGAAACCCACCCCTGCTAATAGGATCAAATGTGAGGTTGTATAAGTGATGCAAAACTGCTAGGTGTAGGTTTTTGTGAACAATAAATGTTGTTCATATTGCATGTAGCATTAAAGTGAATTTAATGTCCACATCAGGATGTTTCTAGGATAATTTGTGCGTATATGATTTTAAAGATCTGCTTTACTAGCCCTTTAATTTAGTATGACTCAGTTTAAATGCCTTTATTTAAAGCAGAGTGTTCAGGCCAAGTATATCTGCTCTGATTATAGTTGTAAAAAGACAGTGAATGTTTGTGGCCTGTTTCAAAAAGATTAAACAGTATGATAAAGAATTACTCATGGGAGAATCTTCAAGCCACATAATTTACTTTTCAGCTGTGATTCATAATTAAAGAATAAGATATGATAGCTTTTCCATTAATTTCACTTTAAGTCTGGCAATACTCTTGATCCTCAGCTGTTGCTGGATTCTAAGGTGGCAGCTGTGACAAGAATCATCTTTGCACAATTGTGTCTAGCGTGCCAATTTGTTCCAAAGACAGTCAGATTTAGCAACAGTTATCTACTCTTTGATTACATCGTATCTTGATTATGGCAACACACAAATGTGTGTGTGTGTGTGTAATTCAGTGTCCATATTTTTCACATTCTATGAATGTGAGAATGCATTAAGTATTATCATTTGTACAGAAAAAGTTGCAATACCAAAATAAAGGACAAAAGTGAGTTTTTGAAAAATAAATCTAAAAGACAGCTTTCTGAAATAAAGGCTGTCCTTTATAATAAAAGACTAGCCTTGAATCAGATCGAGAAGCTGCCTTTGTGCAAAATGGGCAGTAAGGCTATTAACCAATCAATGTACTGATCCCTGTAAGATCTCTCTGTACTGGTTGTCAGCTGCTTATCGGGCATAGTTTAAAGTGTTCCTTTTGATGGCTTTAGACCTGATTATCGAAAGAGCAGCCTTTCCCATTACAAACCTGTCTGACAGTTCTCAGAAGAGGCTGACTTGCCTTTCTGTCCCTCTCCTCCTAAATTGGTGTCACACTGTGCAACACATTCCCTAAGGAGTTGTGTTTGGCTTCCACAATCTCAGTGTGTAGAAAATCTGTAAAGGTATGTCTCTTTTGCCATAGCCTTAATTGTCAGAAGCATGCTGTTTTCACTTTAATCTACATCTTTTAGCACTTTATAATATGAGTTGTGTGGCACAGCGGTTTGAATGCAGGATTGCAGGCTAACTCTGCTCACTACCAGAAGTTCAATCCAGACTGGCTGAAGGTTGACTCAGCTTTCCATCCTTCCAAGGTCAATAAAATGAGGAACCAGATAGTTGTGGGCAATATGCTGACAATGTAAATTGTCAGAGAGTACTGTAAAGTGCTGTGGAGTGGTATATAAGTCTTATTGCTATTGTTACATTCTGAATATTCTTTAAAAATTTATCAGCTACCTTAAGCATGATAGTTAATATTTTAACTGAAAGATCAATGATACAATAGTGATATATAAAAGAAGCATGAAGGGCAAGGACCTCTGTCTAAAGGGCATAGATTGACCTTGTTGGCTTCATCTCCAAATTCTGTTGCATCTCCCTGCCTTTTTCTCCAAACCTGGAATAGGAAGAGCTCTTAACCTCCAGAAGAACAGCTGATCAAACAGAACTTTTCCTAGCTATCAGGAAAATTGTTTTGTTTTGTTTTAAAACAAGTTTTATTAATTTCAAAAACAAACAAATCATCATCAACCATTGCATATTTGAACCTTTTTCCATTATAGATTTAACAAGTCAGATAAAACCTTATCTTATACAATACATTTCTATATTATTTCATCTATTTCTTTCTGACTTGATTATCGTCACTCTCTTTCTATGTTTCTACAAGGTTTCACCAATACTCTCAAAGACATAAACAGACACAAACATACATATAAAAAATCTTTTAGTAAAGTAACTTGGCCCCAGGTACCTCTCTTTATATGGGCTTTAATTATATTCATGCTCATCTTACAGATCATTACCTATTTTGTTTACCATTCTGTATCTTCTATATAAACTTCTCCATACATTTCACTCTTCATAATTCTAGCTTATTCAATCCATCTTAATTTAAATCATTATATTTGTATCTTTTGCCCATCCTTTATTATCCCTCTATCTCATTCCTTATAATGAGGAAAAAAAAAGAATTTCTCCTGAAATCACTAATCAGAGTATGATGCCTTTCTATCCTCTCCCTAAATTAATTAAATTAACATTTAAAATAACACCTAGTACCCAATTTGATTCTGCTTGGTACATTCTATCTACTAATTTTTACTTTTAGTAACAATAAAAACAGAGTAAAAAATCAAAAATGTTTAAATACATAATATCCTCCTAAGTACGTAGTCAAATAATAAATCTAAATAATAAATCTTATAGCATTCTCATTGCCTTTCCCTTCAATATTTTATTACATTTTAAGAATCAATCATTATTAAACATTTCAACATTTTAATTTCTTATTAACTCTTAAGCCATTCTAATTTTCTATTTCTAATACAAATGTTACAATACCATCTTGTGTACCTTGCAGAATCTTTTTTAAGAAAATTTATGCTTTACCCATTATCCCTAAAAAAGATTTGTCTTTTCCCATCTAATTTTAAAACTTTGTGGCTTTTGTCCGCCTTTTCCCTTTCTTTCTTCCCCCACCAAATCTTCCTACCCCCCCCTTCTTCTAACCTCTGTCTTGCCGGCATCCCTTCTCTGTTGTATTCCCTTTTTCTCTTGTTTGCTATCATTGTATTTACTTTGCATCATATTTTTCTCTTTCTTAAATGTTTTTTTAGATATTAAGTCCTTCATTTTCCTCGCTTTCTTCCTTCCTTCTTTCTTAGATGAATTTTGGGATTCATTGAAGATGGCGTCTTCATCTTCTTCTTCTTGTTCTTCTGCTTCCATCTGTATTGTCTGTTCATAGTTAACCAACGCCATTTCTAAAAATAGAAAAGCTTTTTCCATACCATCTTTACAGGCTGCTTTTGTTTGCTCATATTCATCCCTCAGTTCCTCAAAGGAAAAAGCCATTATAGATCTTTTCTTTTCTTTTTTCCCTCTTTCTTCTCACACCAACCAAAATATTCCAAAAGAAAAACAAGACAATCCCAAAGTCCATAATCCTCAATCAATCCAAGCCAAGCCAAAATTCCCCCTTTCTCTTCCAGGGGTAGTATCAGACAAAGAAAAAAAGAAAATTCAAATCTGTGTTTTGAAGCCTTATTAAGATTTTATTTCTGTTTTCAAATCCTTAAGGCATCTCCTCCAACAAAATCCAACCAGATAAATATATTTTTTGTCCTCTCCCTTCCGACTTATCCCAAAAAGCTAGTTTTACCTGAAAAACAACAACAGGTTTCTCAATATCCATTTATTAATTCCGTCGGGGGGGAGAGTAAACTTTCCTTTCAGCACCTCAGAATTGCCGCTTATTTTCTCTTGTGGAAAGAATCATCCAAAAAGCCATCATTTTCAGGAATTAAATTAAATATATCTTAGAGTCCTGGATCGACCAAGAAGACTTTCACTTTTAAAAACTTTCTCCTCTTCCTCCTGCGCATACTTGCCCAGCTGCCGGCTTCTTTGTGGCGGCCATTACGGACCGCCGCTGCACCGTCTTGGTAAAAGGGGGTTCTGCCGGCCAGGGAGGGGGTCTGCAGCACCCCCAAACCCTTTTCCGGATCCCCCCTACCTTCAGCTGCCCCTGCAGGGCAGCCTTGCTCCGCACCCTTTCGGATCGGAGCCCCAAAAACGGCTAGCGCGGCAGGGATCGCGCAGCTTCACGAATCCCTACCGCTCGCAAAGCCGACAAACCGGAAATCCCCCTATCAGGAAAATTGTTATGCAGGGTGGTACTACGAAGAAAACATTTCAGCTCAGGAGAGGAACAGTACTTTTATCTTATCTGATGCTGCAAATTTTCCCTTTGAAATGTTGTCTGTTAAAAATATTAACTTGGAGGAGGAGGGCAAACTGCTGGGAAAGGAAACTCATCTCCCCCAACACTACGTTGTCTCCCATTGAGAGTTTGTTTGCTGATCCTGCCAATAGCAATAGTAATAGCACTTGGACTTATATACCGCTTCACAGTGCTTTTACAGCCCTCTCTAAGCGGTTTACAAAGTCAGCATATTGCTCCCAACAATCTGGGTCCTCATTTTACCAACCTGAGAAGGATGGAAGGCTGAATCAACCTTGAGCCAGTCAGAATCAAACTGCTGGCAATCAGCAGAGTTAGCCTGCAATACCGCATTCTAACCTCTGCGCCACCACGGCAATAGGCATCAGTGTCAAAAGACACAGTTTTAAATCCTAGTTGTGAGATATTTCAGAATATGGTCTACAAATGAAAGGTATAAATGTGATTGGATTGTATGGGTATCACTAAAGGCAAACATATTAGTGACCACTTCCTCACAATGGGGCATAGCAACTGCTAATATGCAACTTTTGGCATAATTGCCCAGAGTTATTTTGGCCCTCAGCCTGAAATCAGGTCTTCACCCCTGCTGTGAAGGCTGTGTGTGTTTCCAAAGAGTAAAATAGACAAATAATCAAATTTTTGTCTTGTGATTTGATAATAGAATTGAAGCTTGCTTCATATATTTATGGATTCAATTATCTAATTAAGCAAGTCAGCAGAATTGAGTCTAAGTGATTCTCTAGAACTTTCTCTAATTGGGAAGGCAGGGATGCATCTATAGAGATGAAAAGACGGTGGATGTAGATTTTCTTTCTCTTTCCATTCAACAGTGAATGCAGGGAAAAAAATGTTTGAAGGGATTATTCTGTCCAGACAATGTGTAAAATCACCAGAGTACTTATAAAGGAGATGTATACGACACAAGTAGACTTGTCATTTTATTTGCTTTAAGAAAGAGGAGTAATTTGCTTTCTGGATTTAAATATTAATGTTACATAATAGGACCTGTATTAAAGCAAGGGAGTAATCTTAAAAATGGACAATAACAAGATGTAGATAGAATAGTCTTGTGCTAAATGTGTTAGCTTCCTAAACTTCTGGACAGTTCAGTTTTATTTTAGAAAGTCAAGAAATCTCAGAATCACTAAGAAAAATACTTAAAATGAGCTTGATTCAAAAATGACAATGGACACGATACAGCTACTTTGAGACCACTTGACTCTACTAAAATAAAAATAAACTGCTCAGATGTTACAAGAAGCTAACGTATTTAGCACAGATTTATTCTATGATTAGCACTGATTCTTGCAGCTTTCTGGAAAGTCTTTATTTCCTCCCCACCCCCAAAAAAATAGTACAAAGAGAGATTTTTACATGGAACTGCGTCCAAGATTATAAACAGATTTTTATTGACATTCAGCTGAACACAAACAAAGACTCATTTCAGTCTTTTTCTGCCCCAAGAAATAAATGCAAAAGAAAGCAGGAAGTGAGCCAGTAGGCACAATCCCAGCGTCTGACCACCCCCCATTGGATCGTAAGAAGTGTTTTATTGGAAATTACTCTCTTACTCTATATTAGTGCAATTTTTCGTGGAAATTCACAGCTTCTTGCATTTCATGGACTTTGATCTTTAATGCTTGCCGATTTCCATCATTACATGCCTCTAAGTGCATGTCTGTGATACCCGATATCAATTGAAGAGTATCCTTCAGGCGTCAGATAGAATAGACTTATGCTGTACAAAAGCTTACACAACAATAAACCTGTTCATTTTGAAAATATTAAAAAAAAATCTATGTCATATTTGCTGTAATAGACAAAAAGCAGCACACTCAATAATCTAGACACCATTATTCATAAATCCCTGAATAGTAAATACAGATTGACCATAGCTATTTGGGATGGAATGGTTTCTAACTGAATTGTGATAAGTGTACTTTTAGGTTTCTTTTATCTATAAGTGAACATTTCTGTTTTTTTAATAACTGCTTTTTGATGGTCTTTCTTTAGTTTGATCAGGCAGCTAATAATGAATTAGCCTGGATTGACAAAACAGAAAAGAAACTGATATCTCTGGGAGACATAAGACTTGAACGGGACCAGACTTTTGCTCAGCTGCAAATTCAAAAGGTAAACAAACTCCATTTGTGATGTGCTAAATCAATTCTCATTACAAATTTGATATTACTTATATTGCATGTGTTATGGTCAACTTCCTGCTGCTCTTAATAGCAATCTGTTTTGTTATATGACTAGGGGTTTACCATGGAGATTTTGAAACACAAGGATACAATAGAAGAACTTGTTTCATCTGGGGATGAGATCATGAAGACATGTACAGAGGAGGAGAAACAAATTATGAAGGTAATAAAGTATTACTTGCACTTATTTGGTAATGAATCTGAATAGCTAAACACCGATCTAATTTCTAAAGCTTGTGAAGCAGTTGTTACTCATATGCAACAGTTAGTGCTCATCTCCTATGGCTTAGGAGATGTGATGACCCAGGGCATGGCACAAAGGCAACACAGTCAAATAAGCAAGAAGAGTCCCTTTAATGCCTCCAATTTTGCCCCCAATGTCCAGGTTACCTTCGGCTGGAGAAAAAACTCTCCCAAGAACAGTCTTTAAGTGGAGGAAATTCAGTCCCCCCCCAAAAAGTACATGCAAATTGTAAATAAAAATCCACACAAACCACGCTGCAGCAATTAACTTGACAGGGCAGGATAAGGAATTGCATACTTGAAAGGCCAATAAAACACACACAGTTGGGAAGTCACCAGTAACCCAGAAAAGCCTCGACAATAACAGACAACTCACTATTTGCTTCCAACAACTTTGCTGTGCATAGCTTCCCTTTTTAAACACTGTGTTCCCAGCTGCAGCTAATGAAGGGAATCAGGGCCCTTTCCTCCCCCGTAAGCCATGCAACCCACATTGCTCCCTTCTCCGTTCCTCCCTGCATGCCCTAGGATGAAGAGGGGGTGGGCCTGGGTCTTCCTCCAAATTCCCTCTCCCTTGCTCGACTTCTCCCCTGCTCTGCCCAGCTGGACTTTGCCCTTCCCCAGTTTCTTCCACAGCCAACAGAGCCACACTCCCACTCCCTGTCAGTTGCTCGGCCTCCCCCTCGGAATCAGATTCCAACGGGCATGACAGGAGGCCCACAGAGGTAGTCATCTTGATAGGGAGAAAAACAGAAAATATAATTGAATAACTGCCCATTCATTTGTATATATGAATGTTCTTAGCAACTACAATGCATGGAAAATACACCCACACTTTATTCCTTGAGTGCATAGTTAGGTATATTCTTTCAGCATAATTCTTCTTGGGGTACTTCGGCTGGTGTGAAAACGCAGTTGATTTTCATTGATTCCTATCTGCAGTGCCATTTTCCACACTGAAGAACCCATGGCCCTCTAGATTAGATATTTGAGGAAAATGGGAATTGCATAGAGGACCTGATTTTTTTAAAAATGCGGTCTTCTCTGATGAGGGCCCAGATTGTTGGGGGCAATAGGCTGACTCTGTAAACCACTTAGAGAGATTTATAAAGCACTGTAAAGTGGTATATAAGTCTAAGTGCTATTACTATTTGTTATTGGAAATGCTCTGTTGAATGTAAAGCCTTCTGGGCATAGAAAAAACTCTTTGGTCCACAGAAAGTAAAATTTAAGTTAAGGTTGGTTTCAGGAAGTTTGCCTAGACCCGTTTACAGAATAGCCTTTCCCACAAAGGGCTCCCATTTCATCTCCTATCCAAGATACATTACAGTCTTTCTTTAATCTTGTGGCTATTTCCGATGGAGCATACTACCTAGTTGTGCTTCCTTCTTATGCATCCCTAGTTTTTTGTTTGATTGTCTGTTCATTTGTTTTAATGAAAATAAGATTGAACACTTGTTGAGATGATAAATTTCTGTCTTAATTATATGTGTATTAACGTACAGTTTTTCAAAACTGTTGTGCATAAGTAGGTAAGAGAAATATCATAATAGTTCAGAGTTTTTTGTTGTTAAAAATAGGATTAGAATTTTTATTCATTTAATTTTTATTTATTTTATTAAATTTGTTTATCATCCATCTCACCACGAGGTGACTCTGGATGGCTTCCTATCCTATCAAAGGGGGCAATTAAACCAAGGTTGAATAAATCTGTGATTCCTTTATTCTCTAACTTCTCACTCTGATCATAATTATTGAAAACAAAGGAGGAATTTTTTTGCAGAAAATAAAAAGTTACATAAGGCCTAAAATAAGATGTCACAATTTTAAAATTCCTCCAAAGTCCCTTCCCAAACTCAACCAGTCCATTATTTGTGACACTTAGCCTCCAGATACTGCAATATTCAGCCACCCAAAACGTGACAACTTCTTGTCAAGAAACCTTTTCTCCAAAATATAGTGTAATTTAGTGTAAAACTAAATTAAAGGCAGTGTAAAAATATGATTTATAATAGTAGGACATTGATGACTATGATAGCAATCCTATCAATCTCAGTTTGCTTAGATCTGCAGTAGTGTAGATGTCCTTTTCAAGATTCGACTGCCATCAGAGGCCAAACTGTTTCATATGGGTGAGGGCCTTCTTAGACTAGATGTATTTGGACTTAGACTCCTTAACTGGATGTTTTTGGCCCCCAATTTCCCAATATTTGGGAAAATAATGAAAGCCCATCTGTTTCACCAATTGTGGATTGGATTTTCTCTGTTCCTATGTTCTATATAAATTACCAAACCATCTTGAGTTTTCTATGGCTAGAACAGCAGGCTACAAAGTTAACAAATCAGTAAATGACAGTGTACAAATTGTTTGCCAAATTAAAATCTTACAAAGCTGATAGATACATGCTGTAGTTTCTTGATAACTTCGTTACAGAACAAACTGGAAACTCTCTTGCATAAATACGATACGCTCTGTCAAATGAATTCCAAGAGAAACTTGCAATTAGAACGGGCTCAATCTCTGGTTAGCCAATTTTGGGAGACTTATGAAGAGATTTGGCCATGGCTAACTGAAACGGAGACGATCATCTCACAGCTTCCAGCACCAGCTCTTGAATACGAAACTCTGAGGCAGCAGCAAGAAGAACATCGGGTAAGGTGTTTGTGGAGATTCGCAATCATTCAGGTCATGGTTGTCCCAAAGGACAACTCTTTGGGACCACATTGGGTCAGGTTTTTAAGCACCTTTGAAAGTGTCATTGATTCCAAAAATACAAGAGCATATTCTTTTCCTTATAAGAAATCCCATGATTTTTAAAATAATTAGGGCTGTGCAGTTTTTACACCTTTATTGTCTCTTTCTCTCTGATTTGCAACAAGTAGTCCTCAACTTATGACCACAATTGAGCCCAAAATTTCGGTTGCTAAGTGAGACAGTTGTTAAGTGAGTTTTGCTCTATTTTACGACCTTTCTTGCCACAATTGTTAAGTGAATCACTGCAGTTGTTAACACACTGGACACAGTTGGTAAGCACATCTGGTTCTCCCTTGACTTTGCTTATCAGAAGGTCGCAAAAGAGGATCACATAATCCTGGGGACACTGCAACCATCATAAATACGAGTCAGTTGCCAAATGTCTGAATTTTGATCACGTGACCACGGGGAGGCTGCAATGGTCATAAGTGTGTAAAACGGTCATAAGTCACTTTTTTTAGTGCAATGGTAACTTTGAGCAGTCACTAAATGAACTGTTGAAAGTTGATGACTACCTGTATTGCTTTTGTACTTTCAATTTGTTATCTTCTAAAAAATAAAATTTGGATTATATACTTCATTTGAGATTATTTTCAGACCAGAGAAGCAATTAATAAAGACTGAATTTCATTAACAGCAGTGTCCTAAAATGAACTTTTATACTTCAGGGCATAGTTATAACCATATGATAATATATATGTTTTGTGTTTTTATAATGAAGGTGAAAACAAAGAACTTAAAGAATAAAATTCAACTTTAGTCCTTAGAATAATTTAGAAACTGACAAGATTTAAGTTAGCGTTTAATTTAAATAATTGGGACTGTCCTAAATAAATATCATTTCATGGCATACTTCATTGCACTTAATTTTAGAAGTATACTATGAAACCAGTGCTTTGAACAACCAGGATATTTAAAAAAACAGACTAGAAAGTGTAGGCAGAAAACAGAATAACACAGGACAACTAATAAAAACATTCAGCCAGTTATCCAGCACTAGAAATGATTTATTAAGTACCAGCATTGTAAAAATTTCCAAATTGTTTAAATGTGACTAAAAATAGCTTGCTAGTGTTTGAGAGTGCTATAACAAGCAGGCAAGTCAGAATGTTTTCAATTTTTCATAATGCACTGGCTTATTCATTTTTTTTACATCTATAGAAAGTATGGCTGCACTATTTCCTTTTAAGTGTACTATAAGTAGGATGCGATTTCTCTCACTTTATTCAGTTACAGGTGAAAGCAGTTTGGCAAGAGGCTTGTGGTGAAATGCACACATCCAGTATGAGTTACACTTTGGCCTTGTTTTTAGGAGAGATGCTTAGATTTTTCTTGCTATTTGAATTTGTAGCAGATGTAGACAACTAGAATGTGGCATAGTAACGCTGAGATACTGAAAGTATTTTGTTCTGTTAAAGCAACTGCGAGAGTTGATTGCTGAGCATAAACCTCACATAGATAAGATGAACAAAACTGGACCTCAACTCCTGGAGCTGAGCCCACAAGAGGGATTTTTAATCCAAGAGAAATATGTAGCAGCTGATGCTCTTTACAGTCAAATTAAAGAAGATGTCAAAAAGCGGGCTCAAACACTGGATGAAGCCATTTCTCAATCAACTCAGGTATTTTTTTTAGGTGGGGGTGTTGCTGTTTATTTGTTTTTGTTTTTCTCTAGAAGGACAGCAGATATATTCCCTTTGGACAGTTCTGCTAATTTATATCATTGTATTTACAGTATATATTCGGCTTATCAAGAGTACCAGTCACCATATGCTAGGTGAAAAAAATAATCACATCATGGTTACATAAATTTATTTTTCTTATCTGCTCAATGATCAGAACCACTGAGAAATCTGTTTGGTATAAAAGAAAATAATCTGATTGTCTCAAAAAAAATAGTTTGAGGATACTTTTGTGATAAATACTAAATATATACATTTTCTCAACTTATAAATTTTTTTCTCCAAAATAAAAAGCAGGGCAGTGTGTTTCCACAGAATCTTAGTCAACGTCAGTCTATCCATCCTCATTTATGCTCATGCACACATACTAACTAGCTTTATTGTTCAAGTGAACTTTGGCTTAAGAGTGCTTGTCAACAGCAGATGTCTTCAATATAAATCTACCCAAGGTTAAAATAAAATGAATTCTCCAAGTGACATTTTTAAATATTGTTGTAGGAATTCACTCTTTCTTGGTACTAGGAAGCAATGATTTGTTGCATTTACTATAAATGGGCTGCAACTTCTTTAGAGGCTACTTCTAGACAAGGCTTTCATTGTGCAGTCTTCCCATTCCTGATACAGAATTTGTGACAGGGCTACAGACATCTTCCATTTGTAATAGTGGGCTTCTTGTATAATATCTTTTGTCCTTCTTTTCTTACACAAAACCCAGCAAAAGAGAAAAATGTAATAGCTACCCAATGACTTTGGACTGGTAGCACTAAGGCCCCTCCACATATGGAAGTACTATAAACATCTGATAGAATTTACTAAGTACTGGCATCTAACCTTAAGAAATATCAAGTAGGAATCTCCCTCTTTCTCTCTGACTGACTTCATCCTGGCCAGAAACAGAGATTGCATTAGACAGCTGAGGGGTTACTTAAAAGTTCCATGTCTGATGAAACATAGTAACATTTAAGTTAAATCTTCTGTTTTAATAATTTAGACCAGCACTCCCCAATCTTTTTGGTTCCATAGACTGGAGGGAGGGGATGGTTTCATGCACGCAGCTTAATCCCACGCATGCACAAATAAAGCTTCACGCATTCGCCCACCGCTTACAATCTGGGGTTAGGGACCCCTGATTTAGAATACAATACTAGATATAAAATCATATTAATTGAAGATACTTTCACAAAAGCATGTTAACCAAGAATACTGATGCAGTAAAAAAATCTTTCCTAGTGATATCATTTAAAAATAAGACTCAGGATTAATTAAATCTATAATAGATTGACACGTGTATAAAATGTTTGCATTCCATTGATTTGCTTACTGAATAGGAACAAACTCACTTAAGGATCAAAAGAAAAGAGAATAATTTTGTCTGAAAGTTTGTATTTTATGGTTCTTTTTATCTTCATAGATTCACATCATAATAAGAGAGTTAAGCTGTAGAAATAATAGCTAGATAGCATAGATACTTGATCCATATAATTCTTTCTCTACATAAAGAAGTGGGAAATTGGATGTGTGATTGAATGTCTACATGAAATCTCTTGGTCATATCCAGTATTACTCTTTTGAGAAATAGAAGAGAGAGGGACAGGATTGTGGTGGTGGTGGTGGTGGTGATGATGATGATGATGATGATATCCATTTAGTTGTGTCCAACTCTTAGCGGTTCTATGGGCAAGTCTCTCTGCATCTTCCAATGTTGCACTATGCTCTGGCTGGTGTCAGCTTTAATGTAAATACTTCGTTGGACAATAGCCCTTCCCCTTCCCCCCTTTCTGATTTGATTTGGCTCTTTGGGGGGAGGGCGTTTTTTTGTGTCTCACCCAGTTGCCCCTACTTATTCCTTCTCTATTGCAGTTCCATGATAAGATAGATTCAACTATTGAGAACCTGGACCGGATCGCTGAACGTTTGCGGCAGCCACCTTCAATCTCAGCTGAAGTGGAAAAGATTAGAGAACAGATCAGTGAAAATAAGAATGTCTCTGTAGATTTGGAAAAACTACAGCCAGTGTATGAAACTCTCAAACTGCGTGGAGAAGAAATGATTGCACGTTCAGAAGGAGCTGATAAAGATATATCTGCTAAAGGTAATGGAGGTTACCAGATTGGAATATTCTCCCCTATTTTTTGTTGGAAGCATTAAAAAGAAAAATACAAACATCTGCAACAGAAGAATTATCTTGTATTAACTGTTTCTGAGGGAAGGCATATATGTTTCAAGTTTTATATATAGTTGTATGTGTATTACTTTATATTCCATTATTTATCTGATCCTTTAATAGCACATTTTCAATCCCATAATATTTATATTACAAGATAAATGCATAACATATAATTTACAAGTTCCTCTCAAGGACATGTAGATTGCTCTGCCTGGGTAACTGTCATGTTATTTTTGCTGTCTAGTTGTTCAGGATAAGCTCGATCAGATGGTCTTTATCTGGGAGGATATCCATGCTTTGGCTGAGGAAAGGGAAGCCAAGCTCCTTGATGTCATGGAATTAGCAGAGAAGTTCTGGTGTGATCATATGGCTCTCATAGCCACCATCAAAGATACTCAAGATTTTATCAGAGAACTAGAAGGAGCAGGGATTGATCCTTCAGTGGTGAAGCAACAGCAGGAAGCAGCAGAGGTAAATAAAATATGCGACAATATTTAAAGGATGAAATTCTATGCTCACTTCCTGGAAAAGATACATTAAGTACCATATTGCTTCTTCAAATCAGAATCATTATTGGATAATTCTAAGTAGGTTTCTATCAGTATGCAAATTTCAGAAGACTTCACCATCCATGAATGTTAAGGTGTAGATAGAGCACTTGATATCCTAATACCATTTTTTTTGAACTATTACCATCTGTCAGATGATACAGGATAATAAAAACAAGGACAAATAGGCTGAAAAATAGCTTCTATCCCAGGGCAGTAACTCTATTGGATTCTACTGTATAGTGCAATATTAATGCAATATCAGGGGTTTTCAATTCAATTTGTAGAGTGTGAGGGATGTGTGTTTGTGTTTATTTTCATAGTCATAAATCGTACCCTAAAGATGGTATTTAATTTTGTTGTACAAGGTGCAATGACAATAAAGTAAAGTAAACTAGACCATGGTATCAAGCTCACATTCTCTCCTCCCCACTCCTCTATTTTTCATCCTGTCCCTTATTCAAAAAGCTAAATAGGTGCGGACCTAGATCAACTCGCATCATTACAGCATTGTCACGTGACATTTCGTGACTTTCCCCCCCTTCACTAAACTGGGTGTGGTCAGCATGTGATGCATCTGGGCCACAGGTTTTGAGTTTGACAGCCCTAACTTAGATAATACTTTGTTGGGAGACCTTTATAGAATCCTAGGACTGTAAGCTAGTTTGGAAGAAAAACGATATCTCAGGGAAGGCAGTGTCTGTCTTCTTCTGCACAGGGACACTTTCATGAAGTCACTGGATTCTACTTGGACTTCAAGGAGGAGATGTATTGTATTTTTTTTCAGTCCTAGAAATAGACATTCCATCACCATGGCTTGTGTTCATGTAGAAAAATATGTGCCACCAAGACTTTCTCTATAGATTATGCTATCATATTAAAGCTTAAGAAATGTGAGCTATGAGAAAAATATTTTTAAAGGGATGCTAATATTCACCTTATTTTCTAAGAATTATGGGGGATGTATTTGTAATATTAATTCCTTGAAATACCAAGAATACTAAAGTGCTTCTGCATTAACTTCCTATTGAGTTGGGAGAAGAGATCAAAGTTCTTGACCATCAGGCAACATACAAGTTTAATTATTATAGTTATTAAACGTAGATAATACGTTGTGCTCTTTAAATACCCATAGTAAGTAAACCATGTTTGTCATTAAAGCTAATTTGCTTTTCCTAAATATTGGTATGATAGTTTACAAAATCATGTTTTTTTTTATCTAGTCCATCAAAGAAGAGGTAGATGGGTTACAAGAAGAACTTGATGCCGTTGTGAATCTTGGTTCTGAACTCATAGCTGCATGTGGTGAACCTGACAAACCATTAGTCAATAAAAGTATTGATGAGGTACTGATCACGTAAACATTTGATTCTTGATGGTTCTCTGAAGGGACTAGAAACCTCTAATTTTGGGACAGCATGGCTTATATTGTGTCAGACACTGATTTAGTTATACCAAATTGTCAGTACCATGATCTCATATTTTTTTTTAGTTCTAATAATAATTGAACTGTATATTTTCAACATACATGGCTTATGTTCTTTTTTAGGCTGTGGGCCTAAAGTTTGAATGAAAGGAATTCTAATCTTAATTGGAAATCACATTAACTTTTAGAAACTAATTAGAACTCTTCCCCCTCCTTGCAATTTTAGGGAGACTTAGACTATTCTTTGCATTGTAATCAATGTTTTATATATATACATATATATTTAAAGTCTTAAAACTATTGTTCCTATAATTTTATTCACAATTTAAAATATAGCTAAATTCCATTTGGGATGGTTTAAATAAAGCATGGAAGGAACGTGTTGACAAACTTGAAGAAGCTATGCAGGCTGCTGTTCAGTATCAAGATGGACTACAGGTACACTTTTTAATTAAGTTTGTTTATAATCTTTGTGTGGTAGGATATTTAGAAAGGCGTTTCTTAAAAATGAAACTACCAATTAGGGATCATGAAATATTTTAATAAACACCTACTTATTCCTCAAAATCTATAAATGTAGGGTTGTGCATGTTTTATGATTTGGCAAAAGTACTTCTGATCAGAGAAGTGATTATTTTTGTCTTTTTTCGTAAGTGATGGGGGTCAGGGAGAAGGTTTGGAGCGTTCTTTGGGAATCGTTTCACCCACCCATCCATTTCCAAGATCCCTCAAACTACACTGTGTTCAGAAGTCTATCCCAAATCCAAAACCTTTCCAAAGGGGTCTAGGACAGCCTGAGAAAAAAACAGAAATAATGTTGAAGAAACTGTGGCGGACAACATTTATTGCATTGATTTATCCCACGTGGAATTGTCCATGGCGAGTTGTCCCGTGGTAAGATGGCCGCAGTGAGTTGACCACAGCAAAGTGTCCATTCCATTTCCAAAGACTATGCAATTTGAGGAAACATTTCCCAGAGAAGTAGGGTCCCAAAAGAGACAACAAAGACAGTGAGGCACTAGGCGCAAAAGGTGAAAAGGGAACTGGGATAGAAGTCAGCTGGATGAAGGAATGCTCGCTACTGTTTGATGGGAAATGAAGGAATGCTCACTACTGTTTGATGGGAAATGAAGGAATGCTCACTGGCTTGCTTGCTGGGGCAGACTGGAACCACATGGGGCTTGGGAGAGAAGGCAGCTGGGCAAATAAATATTTGCTGGCACTTACTGAGGCTTCCTGGGTTATGGCAGGCAGCCATGGAATATATGGTTCTGCGGCTGCTTGTGGATAATGTGTAGGGCAACCAAAAGAGCAGAGATGTGGGGGAGACAGGTGGGTGGGAGGAGTGGAAGCATCTCAGTAGTATAAGTGTGCGTGGGCTACAAAGTGCTGAAATTTTGATCATGCTGGGGCACTGCAATGGCCATAATTTCAGGCACAGGTCGTAACCCTTTCCCCCCCCAGCAACATCAATTTCAAACAGTCACTGAATGAATGGTTATAAGTCAAGGATTACCTGTAGTAGATCAAGAGATACTCTACTGAAAGTGTATACAGGTAGTCTTCAACCAACAACCACAACTAGTTCTGGAATTTCTGTTGCTAAGAATTGTGATAGTTAAGCAACATCACATGACTTGGCCTGATTTTACAACCATTTTTATCAGGGTCATTAAGTGAATCACCACCATCATTAAGTAAATTAGGTTTCGCCAATTGATTTTGCTGGTCAGAAAGTGGCTGGGAAAGTTGTAACTTGTGATCACATGACCACCAGATACTGCAACCATTGTAAATGCGAGCCAGTTGCCAAGTGTCCAAATGGATGTAAGTCACAAATTCTGACGCTGATGTAACTTTGAATTATCAAACTAATGGTCATAAGTTGAGAACTATCTCTATTCAGTTACCATCAGAGTTCAGGTACCCTGACATTTGATTTATCTGTAGATTTTTCAAGCAAAGTCTTTGAAAAGTATAAGTGGTTAAATTATGGAAAAAGATTAAATATTAAATCTTTTGTCAGCCTCTTTGCTGTACATTTCCATATTAAATGCCCCCTTTAATATATCAATAAATTAAATCTATAAAATCTCTTCAGTAGTTCAAAATTGTTTTTCTTCTGCAATTTTTTATAGTGCAGATTTGTGTGGATTTGAACAAATTTCATTTGATTTAAGTTCAAACTATTCATAGTTATTTGTGACGTCTATAATGTTAGAAGGTTGGATTTCACTCAGTGAACATCATCTCACATCTTATAAAATCCTATTGTATTACCTCATTGATCTTACTAAATATTACCCTGTTCAGCACATTATACGTTTTAACATAATTGGGTCATTTACAATTCCAAATGAAATCTCTGCTTCACCACTTTGGCTCATAGACATTATCCATCTATGACAGATAATGCATATTATCTATACTAAAAATTTTCCAATAGTTAGAAGTATTTTGCTTAAATGGCAATCTGGTACTCATTATCTAAACAGGTCCCATTAAGCTTAGTAGACTAAGTGATTAGTCTACTAAGTACTGATTTGAAGTCAGTTTCTTCTATTACATGTTGTCATCTTTTAGGGCTGAGGAAATGTTCCTTCTCTGGAGCAGCCCCCATTCTCTGGAGCAGCATCTCCCAGAGATAAGGACAGTGTCCTCTTTGAGAAATAAAAATTAAAGGATGGGAAAATGGGCTTGTGTCCATGCCCCATCCCCGTCTTCACTTCTGGGTAGCATTTTTTTCCCAGCATAAAGGGCAAAAGCTGCAAAGCTCACCCTCCAGGCTAATAGTCTAAATCTAATGGCACCTTTACTTCAACCAGGAAGAAGCTTCCACTAGTGGGAAGTTACCCATCATTGCAGCTCCAAAGAAAATGTTGCTAAACTGCTTTCCTGGCATTTCCTGTGGAGTTAGAACTGAGCTGAAAGTTAATGACATAGCTTCCCGACCTTAAAGGAAGCCTCACTACATTTTTGGTGTTGAGAAGGACTGCATCAATGTCAAGTCTGTGGCATCTCTAGCTGTTAGATTCCATATCGACAAGTTCTTAGAGTTGACTGAGGACATCTTTATTGAAGTTACATAGAAATATATTGGCACTTGTGGCAGATGCAAAATGGCAGATGCACCATCATGATGCTGTCCCAAACACACACACAATAGAAGCAGGACTTGTATCTTGCCTATTTTCTCCCTCCCTCCCTCCCTCTCACAAACACACACACCAACTCTCATGACCTGATGTATAAATGTATACATTCTTGCAGTTCTTCTCATATAACAAAGAATATTCTCTGTATATTTAGTTCATTGTTAATATGCTACATCATTATTTGCCCTGTTATTTTAATTGTATTATTTTAACAGGCTATGTTTGACTGGGTGGATATTGCTGGTAGTAAATTGACTTCAATGTCACCAGTTGGAACAGACCTAGAAACAGTAAAACAGCAAACAGAAGAGCTGAAGGTATAAAATTTAACTTTCTCTTTTAAATTTTTTTTGTGAGGGGATAGTATTTTCCAACTTTTTTGTATGGTATATAAATTGAATTACTTCCTGTCTTGTAAGTATGACATAAAATGAATTTCTTTCTTTTTTGTAAAAGATAATTGTGAGGGGTATTTTTAATAAACAAGGTTATTTTTTCTGACTGCCTTGTTTTCTTAAGCACTCTTTTTCCCCTTTAAAGTATGGGCAAGCTCCTTAGTTTTGGATACCATGGATTATTCTTAAATTTTCAGAATTCATTCCCTTTCTAGCCTTTCTACCCCAGTGAATTCCAAAAGATGGCTTAGAATGAAAAGATGACTCATTCTCTTCATAATACCTGGATACTTAATTGTGCATTTTACACAGGAAGCAAAGATTATGTGGGATATCCTGTTTTGCAGCACTGTTTTAGACTAGATGATCCACTGTAACTCTAGTTTTTGCGTGTGCAAAGCTGAGGTGGACAAGTTGTAAAAATAAACAGGAAACCATCAGCCAAAGTATGCTTTTACAATAGTTTGACACTGAAAATTTAGGATTCCAACATTTCTATTAGAATTGAAAGCAAGGATTAAGAAATCATTAGGGATTGAATCAGGCAATCATAGCGATACATCATCCTGGTTTAGCAGAATGTGAAACATTTCTGCGTGTCTCTGCTTCACTGTTTTGTAATCACTGCATAACTCACCCAGATGCACAATATCTTTACTAGAGAGAAAGCTGCAGCCACAGAAACCAAGTCAATTTTTTTAATGCTTGTCAAAGGGATTGGGGTGGTGGGGGGATGGGAGAAGTCCACTGTATCATAAGCTTTGTTAGAAGAGAAAGCAGTACCCAATGGGATCCTTCTCATGTGGGTCTTCGGAAAAATAGCCTTCCCTCCTCCCCCCCGTATGTCTAGATCAAATTGTGTTATATGATATGTATCTGTTCTTAAGTTTGGTCTAGTAAGGTTTATTCAAAAGGACTTTAGAGCTTTGAAGCAATGGCTTTCAATAAAATGGGAATGTAATGGATCGTAAATCCCTAAAAGTTGAAATGCAATACAAAAAGTAGGCTGTGTGTTATTCTCCTCCACAACTATGCATCTAGAAAAAAATTATTTGATTTATTTTACTTCCTCCTGTCATAGGCCTCAGTTTAAAAAAATAGGAAGAGATTTTTTTAAAAAAAAATAGAATACAGTGAATATGTCCACATGGTAGCCATCTACTCTGATTCTATTCCAGACAGAAAGAAGGTAAAGAGTTGCAGAGTTTTGGACTTGTCAAAGCTTTGCGTTGTAAGTTACCCAGGAATCCTAACTGTTCAGTCACAGATGAGGATAACACCCTTGTGTATGATAGATATATTACTGTGGTTCCTTTCTCTTCAGTTAATTTCTTCTGGGGATGGAGTAATCTCTGCACCAGGTGTAATTTGGTTCAGTCACTTCCAGTGCAGAGCTCTATCAACATTACCTTCGTTTTGAGGAAGCTTTGAAAGACTTCCTGTTTTATAGACTAATAAATTGAGTGTGAAATATTTCGGACATAAAAATGATGAAGTATGCTGTCCATTTATATTTCAGGGGGGAAAGTGTGCTTTAGTTGTCTAATTTATGAAGAACAGTAAGTTAGAAAGTTCTGTGGATTGCATCCTGTTCCCAAAAAGGTCTTTCATTCAAAACAGGCTTCCCCTAGGAAGAAGAAAAGATCTTCAGCATTTTATAGTAATTTTTTTTAGAGACATTGGGTTCCTTTGTGCTTTTTGCTAAAAAAATAGTTTTCCTTAAACAGAAACCTGTTCAGGGAAAGACTCTAATTTTCACAATAAACTAGTAAGGTCAAGGTGGTATTCCCCTTTGATATTTTGTGTCCTTGAATTTCTACAGCAATTTAAAAAAGAAGCCTACCAACAACAGATAGAAATGGAACGACTGAACCATCAGGCCGAACTGTTGTTGAAAAAAGTCACAGAGGAAAGTGAGAAGCATACTGTTCAAGATCCTTTGTCTGAACTCAGGCTATTATGGGAATGTCTAGAGGATAAAATCGTTAGCCGCCAGGTAAATTGGGTTTGGCTGAAAACTTACTCTACGTAGCAGCACTGAACTGAAGGCATTAAGATCTCTGAATTTCAAGTGCAAGCATATCATTTGTTGTAATTAATACATAATGGTGTCTAATTAATTATGTGTATTAAATATTGATCAGATATATGTTTGGTCATTCTATTTCTTTTGAGAATTTTTAAAATAATATATAACAAGTTGAAAAGAAAATGGCACAACAAACATTAATGTCCCCAGCAAGTTTCTGAGCTTGCTATGTTTCCCACCAGATTAATAGTAATAGATTTCTTACTAGTTTTCTTTTTCCTAATTCCTTTTCCCCTCCTTATGATCAAATTGTTTAAAAAGCTATGTTTTGTACTCTAAATCATGTTATATTACTTATTATGTTTTACTAATATCATTTTTAAAAATGAGAAACCAAGATACTGCAACAAGAGCATGTTCTTGGACTTCGATGTTATTAAGATGTAACTCCCAACCTATCATGAAATTGTAAAGTCACAGACTTTTACATTAATCTCTCATGAAGTAAATGAGACAAATGCAAGCCACTCAAGAATTATTAAATAATCACAATAAAATATGTTACTAACTTTAAATGTTCTTCTCTAATCTGGTTTTCAGATTATAGTTTATATATAAAATAAATTTTGGATGGCACTTTTAGGCGTTCATATGAGTTTTCCACACACTTTGAGATGATTGAAGATTTAGCATGATTTCAATTTTTTATATTCTTGTTTTTGAACAGCATAAACTGGAAGGTGCTTTATTGGCTTTGGGGCAGTTCCAGCATGCTCTGGATGAATTGCTGACATGGCTGACACACACTGAAGACCTGCTGAATGAACAGAGGCCAGTGGGAGGTGACCCCAAAGCTATTGAAATTGAACTGGCCAAACATCATGTACGTAACTGGTATTTCTGGGCTTCATTGTTAGATAAGATTACTGAATGGAAATAACTGCTCCATATTAACAGTTAAAATAGGTCAGATTTTGAAAAAAGGTCTTTATAGGAGCTCAAATCTCAACAGAGTGCATTAATGCAGGACTCAGGAAAAAGCAAGCATATTTCAGAAGCCAAACTTCTGTACAGACAAATCATAGAAGTCCACAATCAGTCAGGAAATCAGAAGGAACACATATTCAGGAACTCAGGTCCAAGGCTTGAAAATTTTGTTTCCTAACTCAAGACTGACTCCCAAGCCCTTTTTCTTAGCACTGATGCCTACATACCTATTTTCTTGAGTCATGTCTCTCTTGTTTTGCCTGCTTTATTTTATTTATCTATCAAATTCATATGGCCACCCAAGAAATGACTCTGGGTGGTATGCAGCAAAAATATATAAAATAATAAACATACCAAACACAGTCACATTACAAAAGATTTTTCTGCTTGTGCGCAGGAAAGATACTTTCCTCCTATTCAGGTTGTAGGTTAGGTGACTCTAACTTGCTGCTATGCTTTTGGAACAGGTATCTGATTTCCTGCTGGTTACACAATAATTACACATGGCATGCTTTATGTTCCGCTTTCAAAAAATAATGTCCAAACAAATAAAATGTGCATTAAATTAAATGCTGTATACAAGTAGCATCAAGACAAACTATAATTTTAAATACATTTATATAGGGATGACCTGAACCAGTGGGCACAGTGAATGCGTTTTTTTGAGTTTTAAAACCTTAGAAGGAAAAAAATGCACTGAGAAAAAATAAAAAGAAATAGGAAAAAGCTTCAGCAAATATAAGTGTGATTACAAAGTTATCTCTTGCTCTGTGACAGGGGTGTCAAACTCACAGCTTGTGGGCCGAATGCATCATGTGCTGGCTCCGGCCTCGCCCGGTTTAGCAAAGGGGAAAAAAGTCCCGATACGTCACAGACAACGCCATGACAACGCAAGTTTGACACCCCTGCTCTATGATTACCAAAAGGCTCACTTTTTTCTATTATACTTTTTTTCCATTAAAATCAGTCTCTCCCTCCCCACCCCCTCAGCTCAAACTCATAGGGTTAAAAGTCATATATAAATAAAACAAATAATAATAAATAATCTTTGGAATTTGAGAATTTTAGCTTGTATTTATGAGAGGAACCCTCACATCTCACCCCCATATCAATAACCACAATATAAACAATATGGTCTGCCCTTGAGGTATATTAAATGAATCAATAAAACATATGCTGATTTGACCGAATCATGGTGGTGCAGTGATTAGAATGCAGTATTGCAGGCTAACTTTGCCCGTAAGCAGGAGTTCAATTCTGACCAGCTCAAGGTTGATTCAGTCATCCATACTTCCAAGTCAGTAAAATAAGGACCCAGATTTTTGGTGGCAATATTCTGACCCTGTAAAAAACTTCATAGAGAAGGGGCTGTAAAGCACTATGAAGTGGTATATAAGTCTAAGTGCTATTCCTATTGACTCTAGAGCAGTGTTTTTCAACTTTGGTAACTTTAAGACGTGTGGACTTCAAACTTCCAGAATTCTCCATCTGCTATGCTCAATTATATGAACCTTCTAATTTGTACTATTTCTAAATATTTCCAATTAGGTTTTATTGAAATGAGGAAATTACAGAGGTAACTGAATGAAATGAGTGATTAAAAAAAACCCAGAAAGGAATTACATGTTTTTGTTCCTTCAGATTTTGCAAAATGATGTCTTGGCTCACCAGTCTACTGTGGAAACAGTTAAAAAAGCGGGAAATGATCTGATTCAATCAAGTGCTGTAGAGGAAGCTAGTAATCTGCAAAGCAAACTTGAGCTTCTTAATCAACGATGGCAAAATGTCTTGGAAAAAACAGAAAAAAGGAAGCAGCAGCTGGACAGTGCTTTGATCCAGGTGTGTATGAGAAGTGTAAAAGATCATCTAGGTGTTACTGAGTTAAATTTGGGTCTATTGAAGTCAAAGGTAGGCACTTTAAAATTCTCCTCGCACTTTGCTATCTCTGCAATAGAAAAACATGAGAAAATACTTTTTTATAAATTACTAATAGCTTGAAATACTCAGTTAAAATCTTAAACTGGACAGATTGTTCTGTGTATACTTTTAGCTTCCAAGTGAAAATTCCCAGTCATAAATTGGGATTTGAAGTGTAAATCCATTATCAGCAATACATTTTACATAATTGGTATAAGATTACTTAGTTTTTTTTCCCTTTTTTTCTCACTCAACATTTCACTATATGTATAATTTTTATTTTAAAATTAAATTTAACATTTTTGTTTTGTTTAGGGAATTCTTAATTTAACTGCATTTTCTTTTAGGTTTGTAGGCTTTTAAAAAACCTGTGATTTACTATGTTCAACTTTTGCAGTGTCTTAGCTGATACAGCAAGCCTGTGTAATGAAATATGTTATGATGACATTTTGTTTAGGCCCAGGGTTTCCATGGTGATATTGAAGACTTACAACAATGGCTGACAGAAACTGAGCGTCACCTTTTGGCATCAAAGCCTGTTGGTGGCTTACCAGAGACTTCAAGAGAGCAGCTTAATACCCATATGGTAAGGATCTTAGTAGTGCAGATGGCCCAAATTTGGAAACTAACGCTTTGTGGCTGTTTGGAATGAAAAATTTGCAAATTCTGCACAAGAAAATAACACTAAAGGCATTAATTTAGTAAATTATCATAGGTGAACAATCTTCACATTAATTTAGAGACAAAAACAATTTTAAGGAAATATGGGATCTCTGGTTAGCTGCTATAAAGTTGTATATATAATTTATATTCTTCCACTTGTCCTAATACCAAACTGTTAATTATCTCCAAGTTCTCCAAACAGAGAAGTTACTATTATGTGTCTTAATTCCTCAACTTTATTGTCCATTTATTATTTCTTGATTAATCCAACTCCAATTGCCAGTGTTTAAAGATATAATCTTTTTTTTTTCTGTGTCCAGACAGCACAGTTGTATTACTTTATTTTCAGTGAGTTGAAGGCTCATTAAAATATGCCTATCTCCAGGACTTGGAATATAACATACCCAGGTCCAATTTTACTTGCATATTCATAACTTACAGTTAGTGGTTTGGTAAGCCTTGCCAAAATTCCAGTCTAGGTCTGAAATGCAAAGATGTGATTGAGAATGCCTCCCTCTTGGGTAGACTTTTTTTTAAATGTCTTTCTTTGCATCTGAGTAATAGATCAGATTTTCCTGGGTTATTTTTCAGTTGCAGAAATGTCCCGAAGGTGCTTTTTCAAGAGGCAACTGGGCTTTTCTGGTTTTTCTTTGAAGACGTATCACTTCTCGTCCAAGAAGTCGCAGAAATGCTTTGCTAAAGTTAAAGGCATTTTTATTCTAGGAAAAAAAATCACTAAATAATAAAGTTTTTCTGAATTTGGAATATGCCTATTTTTTCTTATGGATTGAAGACTCCACAGATGTAATTATCTTTGATCTCACATGATCCCAGAATTCTTCAAGGCTAGTTGTGCAAAATAACTTCGAACATGAGTTAACAGATAACATTAAAATATTTGCTCAAATATTTATTCAAAGTACACGACAAATAGAATGCCTATAAAAACTTAGGAAACTCATTCATTTGACTAACATTTTTTAAATTGTTGATTCATTTTGACCAAAGAATGCACACAATTCTGTATGCTATTATGGACACATTCCTATAAACATCTGGTGACTGTTTCATATTATCCACAATGTGTTTTTCTTAACTCACACAGCCTTCCCCCCCACAAAACTTGAGCCCATAGTCCCTACAACTGCTTTAGAGGTTAATAATTTAGAATCAACATTGATTATGGCCTATTCTCACTTTCTGTCTAGGAACTTTGTGCTGCCTTTGAAGCTAAGGAGAAAACATACAGATGTCTGATGCAGAAGGGCCTACAGATGCTTGCAAGATGCCCAGAGTCTATGGAAACTAATGTTGAGCAGGATATAAATAATCTTAAAGAAAAATGGGAATCAGTAGAGACCAAACTTAATGAAAGAAAAGTATGTTATAGAAGGAATATGAGAAATTTGTCTGCGCATTTAGGAAGTTTAATGTTAGATTATTTTCAGTGTAGGAGAGTTTTGAGGTTCTTTAGCAAGAGTTAATGGAACCATGTAGTCTGTATAGTAAATAATGCCAAACATCCATGCCCATAAGAAAAACTGTTTCAGTAAACTGTAAGGAGTAGTCCAGTGTCTCTAAAACAAAAACATCTTTTTAGAGTCTATAGAATCATAGGCTTGAGGAATAAACAGTTCCCTAATCCATCATTTTACCATTTGGAAATACACAGTACGCTTTAAGAGCATAGTTGATACTGTGAATATAACAGTTCTTCAGAGTGTTAAGCGAAGAGACCATGTTGTGTCTAGGGAGTCAGGAGCAACTTACTGATAAACATATGCTTTCATAGAAGTAAACATGATTTACTTCTCAGTTAAACAGTTTAACCTGATTTGGACTATATGTTTCATCTGGAAGCCATAGAAATACAAATATAAAAGGCAGAAGTGAACGAATGAATAAGCCAAGAGATTTGGAGGGAGAAAAGCTTTTGGATGGATGGGTTTGTTTGTTTGTTTGTTTATTTACTTATTTATTCATATGCATGTAGTCCTCGACTTATGACCACAATTGATCCCAAAATTTCTGTTAAGGGAAATAGTTGTTAAGTGAGTTTTTACCCATTTTACGACCTTTCTTGCAATCATTGTTAAGTGAATCACTGCAGTTCTTAAGTTAGTAACATGATTGCAAAGTGAATTTGGCTTCCCCATTGATTTGCTTATCTTAAGGTCACAAAAGTTGATCACATGACCCAGGACACTACAATTGTCATAGATATGAACCGATTGCCAAGCATCCACATTTTAATCAAGTTAACATGAGGATGCTGTGACAGTTGTAAGTGTGAAAAATGGTCATGAGTCATTTCTTTCAGTGCTGCTGTAACTTTCAATGGGCACTAAACGAATGGTTGTAAATTGAGGACTAGTGTATTAGAAATTAACAGACTGGCTCAGTAATGCCCCTTTTAGCTATAAGCATTTAGTCATGACTGGGAGGTCCCTCTTTCACTTCTTTGCATGTGTTGTCACTTACGATGTAGATAAACCTTCCTTCACAAAGTGCTTTTAAGATATTTTGGGATCACAGCTCCCAAAATTTGGAGCTATTGTGAATACAGGCAGTTTTGTTTTATGAATACTAGGAGTCACTATTTATTTGGAGGGCAAGATATCAGTGAAATGTTTTTAAAGATAACCTACTCTGGTTCATAAGTTCTTCTGTCATTTGTGACATGTGTTCCCTAGAACAACAGGGCAGTTACTCTCTTTGTTCAGTTTTTTGTTTTGAGCCAGCCTGGTAATTGCCTCAGGGGGAGGATCTTCATGCTGCAGCAAGAATTAGTCTTCTGTGCAAATTATAAGGCTTAAATTATAATGTTAACTTTATCCAATGGTTTTCTGAGCCATTCTTGACATCCTTCATACAGTACTGAGCACAAGGTCCCTTTTGTGTAAATCAGATCAAAACTAGAAAACATGTGTTTCTAAATTTCTGTCTAAATGCTTCTTGGTCTTAACATTTGAACATGTAATGTAATGGTGATATTGTTTTTTGTTTTAAGAGGTCGGTATGTCACATGGGGTTAAATTTTGCTTGATCCCTATTTTTTTCCTTCTTTTTCTGCTTAACTATTGTGTTGCAATATTTTATCTAGATACTTTTTAGAACAAAATGCATGTTAGCATTAGCTTAGAAAAATTATTAGAGGGAAAAGCCAACAGCAATGGGCCTCCTCCAAATTATATTCAAGCACAGCATGATTTACTATTCTGCAAAGCTTCCACTATGATTAATTATGTAATGTTCTTACAGATCAAACTGGAAGAAGCTCTCAGCTTGGCAGTGGAATTTCACAATTCGCTACAAGATTTTATCAACTGGCTTACCCAAGCTGAGCAAACTTTGACAATGGCTTCTCGGCCAAGTCTTATTTTAGACACTGTCCTATTTCAGATTGATGAACACAAGGTATGAAAGAAAGGAACAGAATCATAACTTTCCACCTTAAATGCATTGGGCTGAATTGTACATAAATTAGCTCATCAACATATAGCTTCTGAAGATTGGTTTAAGTAATGTCATATATTTTCTCTGCCAATATGTTAGGCAGCTTTATATTTCTAGATACCTTTCAAATTTCACTATTGCCTTTTTCCTTTGGAAGGTCTTTGCCAATGAAGTAAATGCTCATCGTGACCAGATTATCCAGCTAGACAAAACTGGAACTCATTTGAAGTACTTCAGCCAGAAACAGGATGTGGTCCTCATTAAGAATCTTCTCATTAGTGTCCAGAGCAGGTGGGAAAAAGTAGTTCAGCGCTTAGTAGAAAGAGGAAGAGCCTTGGATGATGCAAGGAAGCGTGCCAAACAGGTAACACGGCAGTGCGCCATCTCAATTTTAAAGACTATATCTCAAATCAACGCACACTTTGTCCCCAGGATTATGTATGTAAGTTTAACTAACTTCCTCAACTTGTTCGTAATCTGAAATGAGATCTAAGTGGGTATGCAGAGGTTTTTAATTCTAACTCCACAAGAGCCTGAAAGGGAAGGGGGAGGGGTGATTCAGGATCGTTTCCTACATGTAATGTTAATTGAGCATGAGTCGGATGAATGCATGTAAGGGGAGCTTAGGCATGGATGAAAGAAACAATCATAAAAAAGTCAAGTGTTTCATTAATAATCAGTTGGATTATTTTTAAAGAAATAAGTAAAAATGTTCTTGTCTTTGTGTGGTGAAATTGATAGTGATAGAAATATTCGTAACTGCAGGCAAATGATGGTGCAATTATGAAAAAAAACATTCCTTAGGTTTTTGTTGTTGTTTTGCAGATAGGCATACTCCCATAAAATTAGCAGGTTTCTGCCATCCCCTCCCATGTTCTGTCCAGAAGGCACATCCGAACCTTCTCTGAAAGATACTGAATAACTAGAAGGCCCTTCCTCCTTTTTTCTTTTCATTTTCCCCAAAGTCCAAACTAAGCGCTCAGATAAATGGTGGACTGTCTTTATCAAACTGTTCATATGGTAGCTGAAGAGATACTGCCAGAATTACTTGGTTTAAATGATCATTTCCAGCTCTCTGATTCTTACCTGAGGCCTGGCATTATCATCTGAGCAATCAACCCAATGAAATAGTAGTTGAAAATACTTTTCAAGTTCACATTAGATATAGTAAGGTTTATTCATATGCATGAATGCATCATTAAGTACATTAATTATCCATCCGTGACACTTGCATTACATCAACTTTACTGGAATTAGAATATTAGAATAAGCAAGAACAAATACCTATTGTAAAATAATTTGCAAATCAAAAAAACCTGTTTGAAAGAAAAACAAGCCGTTCTTTTCAATATATTGTTGAGATCCATTTTTAATCCCCTGATTTTGATTATTTTTCACATTTAATATCTTGAGACTAAATGCTTATTAATAATCTATCACTGGAAAAACACAAGCTCACCTCTTAATTTTTCTGCAGTTCCATGAAGCTTGGATCAAACTTACTGAATGGTTGGATGATTCAGAAAAGACTTTAGATGCAGAACTGGAAATTGCAAATGATCCAGACAAAATCAAAATGCAGCTTGCCCAGCATAAGGTGAGTCACTAATAATGGAATGTGTAGAGCCTGTCTGATCTGTTACCTCAAGGCATCATGAGGTAATGAGCAGGAGGAGAGTGATTCATTGTTCACAACATTGGAATATTTGCTGCTATCAAATTCAGACATTGGCTGCTTTCCAGCTTATAAAAGAAATAGAAATTGAAAGGCTTCTCTGTAGAAAGCTCTATTCTTGTGGCAGGGACCCACATGTGATCATGAAGGACCATATTAAAGGGTATTTGAGCCAATGAGTTACCCAATCTGAATTCTATACTGTCCATTTCTATATGCAGTCAGCTTAGTCTGACAATATCTGATTTGAAAAATATTCATATTTTTCAAATAATGTTGGGGATGGAGAGAATTTTACTAAAGTAATTAAAACTTTTATCAAAATTCTAAACAATGATGGTTGAATTTAAAGCAATCCCCACAATATTAAAACTATTCAAACCAAAAATATCAGATTCACTTAACAACCAGGTTACTAACTTATCAACTATAGTGATTAACTTAACAACTGTAGCAAACAAGTATCATTACCCCTGTTGGAGTCTCAATCGAGGAGGAAGACGAACAGCTGATTGGCTGTGGAGGAAACTGGGGAAGAGCAAAGTCTGGCTGGGCAGAGCAGGGGAGAGATAGAATAAGGGAGAGATAGAACAAGGGAGAGGGAATTCAGAGGAAGACCCAGGCCCACCCCCTCTTCATCCTAGGGCACGCAGGGAGGAACAGAAGAGAGCAATGTGGGTTGCGTGGCTTACGGGGGAGAAAAAGGCCCTGATTCCTTTCATTAGGCACACCTGGGAAGAGAGTTTAAAAGAGATGCAAGTTGAGAGCGGCGTTTGCAAATGTGAGTTTATCTTGTGTTGACTGTGGTTATCTGCGTTCCTGGAATCCTCCCAACCAGGTTGATTTACCGCTGTTCCTTCATGTCTGGAATTCCTTCTCTTGCCCTGCCGGATTAATTACCTCATCTTGCCTTGATTGGACTTATAGTTAAAGTTTTTGTTGATAATATTTTGGACTTGAATCTCTGCAGCCAAAGGCTTTTTCTGGGAGAGTTTTCTCCACATCAGAAGCTACTTATTATTTGACTGTATTGCCTTTGTGATACGCCTTGGGTCATCACAGCCAGGTCATAAAATGGGGCAAAACTCACTTAACAATGGAATTTTTGGACTCAATTGTCATAATTCAAGAACTACCTGTATAGCATTTTGAACCAACTATAGCTCTGTCTCAAATACTAGTTGTCCTGACTGCATTTACACATGTGATAACATCTACAGTGGGAGCTGCACTGTTTGCCATTTAGCTTCTGAATGTAGTTAAAGGTTTTGGTTGCTACCTTTAAAGCCCTGTGTTACTTAGTACTTGCAGGAGTGGGCTGCTGGGGGTTCGTAGGGGTTCAGGAGATCCTCTAGCTAAAATTCTGCACAGTTCAGAGAACCCAAAAATCCCACTCCTGGCTGGCCCCACTCACCCTGCTCCTCCCCTCCCAGGAGTTCCTACATGGCCCATTTTGGATGCAGGTAAGTGCAGGGCGCACGGAGGCTCAGGGAGGGTGAAAAAAGGAACCTCCTGGAACTTCAGGAAGGCCGGAAATGGGCCTGTTTCCAGCTTCAAGAGAGCTTCCAGAACCCGGGGAGGCCATTTTCACTCTCTAGGAGGCTTGAGTAAAGCCTCCAGAGCCCAGGGAGGGCAAAAATGCCCCCCCCACACCAGCTGTGGTGCAGGAGGCTGACTAGGCCACACCCACCATGGCCACGCCCACCAAGCAACCAGGCAGAGAACTCTTTGCTAAAATTTTTGAAGTCCACCTCCGGAGTATATGGATATTTTTGAGACTGCGTCTCCAGTTGGAACCTACTCCTATTGGACGGAAAGCATGATATGAGTCCATTTCCTACAGAATGTTGGTTTCAGGGGCCTTGAAGGTGAGCCCTCTCAGTGGTAACCTCTTCTTCTCAAACAGTTTGCCCCTAAGTATAAAGACGACTTCTTCCCTGTAACAGGTAGTCCTCGACTTACAATCACAATTGTGCCCAAACTTTCTGTTGTTAAGTGAGATGGTTGTTAAATGAGTTTTGCCCCATTTTACAACCTTCCTTGCCACAATTGTTGAGTGAATCATTGCAGGTGCGTAGTTAGTAACACAATTGTTAAGTGAATCTCGCTTCCCCATTGACTTTGTTTGTCAGCAGATCCCAAAGGTTTGATCACAGGACCTTGGGATAAGTATGAACCAGTTACAAGCATCTGAATTTTGATCACATGATCATGGGGATGCTTCAAAGGTCAGTAACTGAAAAATGGTCATAAGTCACTTTTTAAGTGCCATTGCAACTTTGAATGGTCACTAAATGCACTGTTGTAAGTCAAGGACTACCTGTACTTTTCTGAAGAACAGTGAAGATGTGGTTCTTCTGCAGGGCTCTGGGGAATGAAAAGAAGGGATGATAATATGAGGAGAGTAGCAGTATGTTTTGATTCAGTTTTCTAGATAGCCCAAGGCATTTTGCAGGATTAAGTAAAAGTCAGCTCATAGAAGAGAACTCGAGAATTTTACAATATGTGTGTGTTTACTAGCAGAATTAATTTAATTTAAAAAGATCAACATTTCATTCTCCGTGCAAAAATAGTAGTAGCTACAATCCTAGCGAATCTATTTATCAAATAGTTTGTTTGCCTGTGGTCTGTAGATTGCTATAATCTTCTGTTTCCTTGAAACTTTGCATTATGAAATAAACCACAAAACCATGGTTTCAGTAGTTTTAGTATTTTGCATCAAGGACATAAAAGTAGGATATATGTAATACTCAGAATTACTTGGATTTATTCCGTGAATGTTGCCTTTACCAAAAATAGAAAGAAACCAAAATTTTTAAAAAGATGTCTGTCTCATATTTGTGCCAAAATAAGGCACATTCATTGCTTTCTTATCAGTTTTTGTCTCCCTTGGTATATTTAAATGTAACATAACAGAAAGTATTGTTCATGCAATCCATATCCCAGGAATTTTTAAAGAATGAGATATTTAAAAGTGCTTTAACAATTAGCAATATACTTTTGCCTACATTTCTGTACAAGATGTTTTTCTAAAACATTATCAGGAAAAAGGAAATAGTTGAAAGTTGCTATTTTTAATTACAAACTAGAAAATAAACAATTCAAAATCATAAAATTGAAATATGAATCATGTTATACATGTATAATATATAGAGATGGAGATCAAATTCATGTTTACAAGAAACGTATTCTACATTTTATTTCTTCTAGAGTTTAAATTAATTCAGATTTATAATTGTCCTGGCTAAGATAAGCAATCTAGAATACAGAGTTAACTCTTCTTTTTTTCCCCCCCTGCTTGTTCTGCGAAAACATAGTACACATTTAGGGCTCCACGACAAAAGCTCTGATGCAGCTTTGATCAAAGACTTGTATCAGATAACTCTTTTGATATTTACTGCGTAAAAGGCTCTTTGAGGTTTAAAGCATTGAATGATCAAGAAGAAGAAAGGGTTGTTAAAATCAAGCACATGCCATTTAAATATACTTTAATTCACTTTGTCATTGAAGCTGATCTTATAAAAGCCTCAAACTTATAATTTACAATTTGATTTAAATAATGTTTGTTTCTGAAAGCCTACACGAAGAGATTGATAGTGCTCTCCACCATGGTAAATTTTTCAGGAGTTCTTTGACCATATGGAGAATGCCTACAATCTTAAGAACTGTTGTGTTATTTTTAACAGCAAGAAATGGAAAGCAGTTTGCACCTTCAGAAGTCAACTAAACCAGACAGTGTTTGGCACTCACACAATTGTGATCCATTTAAATTAAAAAGAATAAGTAATAAGTTTTGTTTATGTTAATCCCAAATTGATGGGCTGTTACACCATACTGAAGAGTTTTGTTCTTCTGCCGTTTCTATTAGATTACATCTGTTTATTGCCCAGTTAAATTCAAGTTGATTTGCGAATGTTTTAATTTCGTTGATACAAACTAAATGGTTCTGGTTTCTTGCTATCTCAATGACATTTTATGAGTTTTCTTCCCTAAATACAGCTTGCCTCAGAATTGTAGCCATTGTGATCTAATCCAAGTAGCACAAAATAAGTTTTATCCTTTAGTTTACGTGCCGTACTTGTTTCTTGTGACAGTTTTTTCCCTTCTTATTTTTTGCACAGGAGTTCCAAAAATCTCTTGGAGCTAAACATTCTGTGTATGACACCACAAACAGGAGTGGGCGCTCTTTAAAAGAAAAAACTTCCCTCACTGATGACAGCCTGAAATTGGACGATATGTTGAGCGAGCTTAGAGACAAATGGGATACGGTCTGTGGAAAATCTGTAGAAAGGTAGAACCTAAAGCTATGCATCCCGTTTAAAAGATGACCCATAAAACACAGGAATTTATTTGTTTATACCATTGGTTTTTATCTTAATTTATTGTCAATATCTGACCTTGATTAGTCTAATCTTACAAGAGGCCACTTGTAAGCACAGGATGGAGTTCTTGGCTGCAAATGCAGCCTTTGAAATGTTTAAATAAAACTGTTTAAATCTCAGCCAGCTGTAGCATATGCATATAGTTTGTTTTTATCAGTGTGATGAAATGAGATCTGTTCCTTCTCAACCAATTTCTGTGGGATGGCATAGGGATCTGTGTCTTAACAGTGGGAAGTAGATGGCTGCAAATGCGCATCTTTTTTTCTTTGCACATCTGTTAGGCCTGGGCATAAGGATCTTGTTTTCCTAGAGGAATGAATGTTGCCCTGATATATATACTATTCTCCTGAAACTAATATTGACAAACATACCTAAACACCAGCATCTCAATGTTGTATTAATCCATCTGAAAACAAGCATAACATTTTGTCAAAGTTGACGGAAGGTTAGGGTTGAGATTGGGGTACTGCGAGGGCATATAGCCTCCCCGAAGATGGATAACTAGGAGATTGTGTAGGAAGTAGGGGCTGGCATACTAACAGAAATATCATGTGTTTATTCAGAGGAAGACTTAGGTAGAAGACTGCAGCAACTGTTTTGCAATCTCAAAATGGATTACTTATTCATCAGTCAGTCAAATTGGTTAGTCACCCATATCATCAGAAGGGACTCTGAAGCATACCCAACGATTCAATAAAAAACACAAATATAGAAACATCAGATGGAAAAAATATAGAAATCTAAATAAACTGCATAAAAAAACAATTATATAAACTGTTAGGCAAAGAGGGGATAAAAATGGCCACCCCAACAATGGAGCCATCTGAGCAAATCTTTGGTTCTTAGGAGTTCCAGGCCTGATAAGATAACCAGGTCCTGAGGGCCTTCTGGAATGTCAAAAGGGATAATAAAGCTCCTAGTATTTCAGGACGAAGCATGCTCCATAAAGTGGGCATTATACCACCATAATGGTGCTTAATCTATAGAGCGGATAAATGTAAATCCAGCAGTTGGTTTACATAGGGCAAAGAATATCTGAATTTATTCAGTGGTTCTACTGCATATCCATTGGGACATGAACGCACACATAGATGCTTCCCCCATACCGCTTGCTGCAGTTTTAGTTGGCTGTGACTACTAATAATAACATTTTTATCTGTTTACCTTTTTTACCTTCTACTTTATTAAAAAAAATCAATTTTGGTTCTTTCTTTTATTTATATAGTACTTTTCTTAATGAATGCACACAAAGGGGCTTATTTAAATATTTCCTTTATTTACTTTCTTCAGACAAAACAAACTGGAAGAAGCTCTCCTGTTCTCTGGGCAATTTACTGATGCTCTTCAGGCTCTCATAGATTGGCTTTACAAAGTGGAACCACAGCTGGCCGAAGATCAGCCTGTGCACGGAGACATTGATTTAGTGATGAATTTAATAGATAGCCACAAAGTAATGACCATATTACAGTAATGTTTGTATTCTTTTTAAGTCTGCTCTACTAATTGTTTTGATTGGGTGACTGATATCAACATAGATTGTAAGAAAGACTTATGAAACTAATACATTAAAAACCCTACATTGTAGTTTTTTAAAAAAAATCATAGGAAAAACTGGAGATTTGGTTGGCTTGAAAATTTGTTTGGGAATCTGTGCTACTTTATTAAACTAAGTTATTTTAACTGACTGTTTCAAGATGTTTGCAGCTTGTGCCTTGTAAATTACCTCTGTGGGTATGGCAATATTCTCTTGACCTCAAATAATATAAGGAAGTTTTATTTTTGAAATAGCAAATAATGATAGTTATTAGTAGTGTTGGGATTTGGCCTAGCTTACTTCCAATTCACAGAGCTTGTTCCCTGTCCTCCTTGATAGGACCATGAAAACGAAATTAAAAGTGTCCAGTGTAGATTAGCATTCAATTTGGATCCTGAATTGTCTAATTATAATTGGTTGAAAAATAGTTTAATAAACCATAGGATTTAGTTGGTTTCAACAAGCCATATTAATGAGTAATTACATTAGATTGCAGTAGCATAGTAGACTTCAGTTAATGAACCAACAAACATTTCCAACCCTCAGTGGTCCTACAGACCAGAGAGCTCCTAAAAGCATTCCCAATAGAAGAACCCATTTTCTAAATGAGGTTTGAATATATCCATTCTGATTTTTATTGTAGAATGCACATAGAAAGCTACTGATTAATGCAAAGCAAGAAGAAATAAACTGCAAAGAATAAATGCAATGGATGGAATAGAAGATAATTTTAATAAAATTTTGAAATGAAAATATTTTGCCCAATTTATCTTTAAAAAAAATTAACAAAATGCAATTTTTGCTTTAAAAAAAACTAGCTGTGACCGAGAGGGTTCTTTACATAGAAAAGAAGTCATGTTGCATGTAAGTCATAAAGATGCTCAATAGTGTTTAAAACTTTTTTTTTTTAATTTCCTTTGCTCAGGGCTTCCAAAAGGAACTGGGGAAAAGGACCAGTAGTGTTCAGGCCCTGAAACGTTCTGCTCGAGAGCTAATAGAAGGTAGCCGTGATGATTCCTCTTGGGTTAAGGTTCAAATGCAGGAGCTTGGTACTCGGTGGGAGACTGTGTGTACTCTCTCTGTCTCCAAGCAAACTCGACTAGAACAGGCCCTTCATCAGGTGAGAAACAAATGCATTGCTCTGAATTCCATCTATGTAAGGAATCATAATTACTTGACCCACATGTGATATCAAGGCAGGAGATTTTTTTAAAAAAACTTTTAAACAGAATTATTTAATGAACAAGCCATTGCGGTTTGTTTTCATTTATTAATCCCATTCATATATTATCCCATCTAATGGTCTGCAGGTGCTCTGATTTTCCAGAAATTTTTCCAGTCTTGTTCAAACTGTCCGGAAATGTTCGGAACTGAAAACAATTTGGACAGAAGTGGCAGACTTACTTATACAGAACAAATTGAATTTTTAAGCAATTTTTCTGGTTCTCAACCTCACACCATTTATATATAACTATAACTATATATATTGAGATGGATGGATGGGTTTAAATGATAACTATTAAATGTCTCCACCACTTGCTCCAAAGTGTACAGGTAGTCCTTGACTCCTATATTACAATCATAACTGAGCCTGAAATTACTGTTGAAAGTTGTGCCAGTCATTAAGCTGATGACCGTGTGACCCCACTTAATTCTGCAACCTTTTTTGCAACATTTATAAGTGAATCAGTGCAGGTTATTAAGTACTTTTTGGCAGAAACTAGAAGTAAATGCTGGTTTCTGGCAAAAAAAAACACGTTATATATCACAATCGTGATTTTGGGATGCTGCAGATGGCTATATATGTGGACCAGCTACTGAGATCATGTGACCACGGAGGGAGGGTTGCCCCCCCATCAGAGCGTGGGTCATAAGTAGCCTTGGGGATGTCCATCATAAATGCAAACATTTGATATAAAATTGGTTGTAAAGTGAGAACTATCTGTGCATGCATGTTTGGGAAGACTCTTGTTTTCCCTGTTTGTTCAGGACTTTGAAAAACTATTATAATTTGAAAAACTAAGGCTTGTACAGGACCTAAGTAAAAGGAAAAAGGGAACTCTATCATCAGAAATTACCTTCTCAGTGGTAGTGTTGCTTTCAACTCTCAGAGAAAAAATTGGATCTATACACAGCTTTAATTAACTTCCCCCTTTCCTCCTTCAGACTAACTGATGTTCATTAGCATGGCTCCAGCTCATAGACTTAAGCATTGTTTTTGTAATCTATAGGCAGGATAGCAAATTGCTAATACAACTGTCATGTGTGGCATAAATCTTAACATTTAAAAGCATTCATAAACAGATTTTTCAGATTTTTTTTTCTTTAAAAAGGTTTTATATTTTACAGTGAAAGATAGCAAGGGGTTTTAAATCAGATTTCTTACTTGAAAGTTAATATGACTTCATTGCTGAATGATAAGTAACTGCTATTTTGGGCCCAATGTTTTCATACATATTTGTTCTTTCTTTTCTTGACACACACACACGCACGCACACACACACCCTCCATTTGTGCAGGCAGAGGAATTCCACTCAGTTGTCCATGTGCTTCTGGAATGGCTGGCTGAAGCTGAACAGACCCTGCGTTTCCATGGGATCCTACCAGATGATGAAGAGGCCCTGCGTATGCTAATAGATCAGCATAGAGTGAGTTGGATCATGGACTGGTTCTCAAAATTAGATTTATAGAAATGTGACAATAAAATGAAAGCACTCCTGGCTTATTTATATCTAGCAGAGAAAAGATGTTTTCTGTCCTAGAAATGAGGTCTTACGAAGCAGAGCAGTTGCTCCAGAATGAAGTCCTCTGTTTATTTAACTGATGCTTTTGATAATACCGGAAACGTAAATTCAACTGGCATATCCTCAGTGTGCTATCACAAGTCCTTAATTATTTAATGGAGGTGTTGTTATTAGGCAGCAGCGCATTTTATCATTCTTACAGATAAAGTAAAGCTTGGAAGGGGCCATTGGTTCATTGATTCCAACTCCCTGCCCATTACAGGATTCTACTACCTCAGCATCCCCAACGAAAGGCCATTGAGCCCTTTATTGAAATACTTCCAGAGGCAGCTGCTTCACTGTTGATCAGGGAATTGTTAAATAGCTTTGATTGAGTGACTGAGTATTATCAAGGTGGTGTCAACTCCTAAATTTTTCTTCATGGTGATCTGTCTTTAGGCTTGTCCTTCAGGCATTCCACTCCTCAGCTTGCAATAGATTACCTTATGCCAACCGGCTTGAAATTTTGGACCTAGACAACTTAGAACTACGCCGTCTACAGTCTGACTAAAGCTTAGTACACAAAATTGTCTGCTACAATGTCCTCCCTGTCAAGGACTACTTCAGCTTCAACCACAATAACACACGGGCAAACAATAGATACAAACTCAAAGCAAACCGCTCCAAACTCGATTTCAGAAAATACAGCTTCAGCAACAGAGTGGTCAATGCCTGGAACTCACTACCTGACTCTGTTGTTAAATCCTCAAACCCCCAAAACTTTAACCTGAAACTGTCTACCGTGGACCTCACTCCATTCCTAAGAGGTCTGTAAGGGGGTGTGCATAAGCACACCAGTGTGCCTACTGTCCCTGTCCTACTGTTCCCATTTATCCATTTATTCGTACTCATTTATTATGTATATACTTATACCTGTTCATACTTACATGTTTATGTGTTATGTTCATACTTATACTTATTTTCTCATACATGCTTGACAAACTAAACTAAATAAAATAAAATATTGCAACCATGGTTAATCTTGCGGCAGTTGTCCTCTTTGGCTTTCTTGAGCATTGCAGCTCAAGCCCTCCTTTTTTTCCCCTGCTTCTTTTGGAAACCAGCTCATCAAAAGCAGGCGGATATTCTCAGGTTTCACCTTTCCAATCTTCTCCCACCAATCTTTCTTTCTTTCCAAGTATTCTTTTTGATCCGCCTCCTTTCCCATCTCCCAATGGGCTTATAGAAATGCCCCCCACTCTCGTGGCTCAAAGGTTTTAACCACTAAGGCAAAGATTGTGAGATTTCCTTTCTCCCTAAACAAATCTCGACTTTCCTGCCCATGACTTCCCAGCCATGCTGTCTTGTCCTTGAAAACATTATAAATTCTCCTGGTGCCTGGGACTTGTGCATTGGATGAATGAGGATTTGCCTAAATGCAGCATGTGCTGCAATGAATGCGGAAAAACTGAGGCCTGCCCTTGGATTTTATCCTAGGATACAGGAAGGTTCAGTAAAACAACTGTGTTACTTATGGAAGTATAATGCACGGATAACACTGCTTTTTAAAAGAGCAGCTGAAAAAAATTGTTCCATACCATTAAAATGCCAGTGGTATATGATTTTCTATGTTTTTCAAGCTGCAGCTAAAGGGAACTGGGTGATAGTCTATCTTAACCCTACTAGCCTCATGAGGATAAATCAGAAATTTTGTCTTGTCTCAGAACTTATTCTGACTGAAAAGGAATTCAAGACCTCACAACAATCACCCCTTGTGTTGTGCATTATAAGCATCTCTTCTCTGTGTTCTTTTCTGTCCAGTAGTAAGAAAATACTCCAAAAGGGCCCCCAAAGCCTGCAAGGTTAAACCTGTTTCTGCCATTATTTGTTTCTACAAAATAATGGCAGAAAATAAAGATACATTCTGTCCTGTTTACTCAAATTCTTAATGAGTATTTTAATAAAGTAGATAGTAACTACTTTATTATAGTATTTTAATAAAGTAGATAGTAACTAGCTGAAATTTGTTTTCCTGAATCATCAAGAACAAGAAGTAAGATCTGAATAGTATTGTATTATGAAGGGTGTGTCCCTTTTGAATGGCAGCATGCTCAAAGTACATAAGGATATATATCTTTCTTTAAGGTTGTAGCAATTATTAGTTTGTCCACTTTATTCCAATATTAATGATTTGCACAATGAAATATGTTCCTCGCTATTATTTGATTTTTTACTTCAGTTGTTTCATATCTGCAACGGTTCAACTCTTATGTCAGAACTTTTATTTTAGAAAGTTGGACTGCTATTTCCTTCTGCACCTATTCTGCCAATGCTTCATGTGATTCAGTTTAACATTCACCTCTTTGACCTTGCCAGCAAAGTCTGAAATTACTTGAGTTTTCCCTTTGAATTGTTACCAACATCTTACGGAAATCACTGTTTCTGACTTAGGAATTCATGAAGAAACTGGATGAAAAAAAGTTTGGGCTAAGTAAAGCCACGGATATGGGAGAGGCCATCCTGGCTATTTGCCATCCAGATTCCATCACTACCATCAAGCACTGGATAACCATTATCCGAGCAAGATTTGAAGAGGTCAGTCCAATTCAAGCAGTCCTATGTGGTCACAGTCAAGTCAGTCCTTGACAGCCAGCAATTAGGAAGGCCATGTTTATGAGGACATGTTCCAACTGTTGAGAGCAAAATGTTTATCATACCCATGCTGTCTTGTATACGAGACCTTGCTTTAGACTTTTTTACGGTTATGTTATGAGAAAGAAAGAAATTGAGTAGAACAGAAACATGTATCCATTTACATTTGTATCAGTTTCTCACCCCACCTCTTAGAAAATGGGATTTGAACTTAAATCATAGCTTTCAAAAAGGAATGGACAACTCGAATATTTCCAAATATTGTTGCCCTCTAATCGGCACAGGAAATGCAGTCCTGACATTTAGAGCACTCTGTGGTATTCATCCCTGCTTTAAATTGATGACACAACAGGAAACAATCATAAGTTATTTGCAATAATCACATTAAGTCATAGCTGAGCTTGTTTCTTGAGCAGCCAATGAAACATGTTATCTAAAGCACATGAAAGTTCCATTATAATTAAAAGTTATATAGTGACGGCCCCTTAAGAATTGGCCATCACCTCTGTTCCTTCTGACCCTGAAGATTTCTTGCGAGGAGGGAGTGGAGGGCAAAAACCCTGGGTTAACTGTGTGGATGAACAACAACAATAATATGGAAATCATATAACAGATTGCTGTTCCTCCTTTTTTAAGGTGGCAGCATGGGCAAAGCAACACCAGCAAAGATTGGCAGGGGCCCTCGCTGCTCTTATTGCTAACCAGGAGTTATTGGAAGCATTATTGTCCTGGCTGCAGTGGGCAGAGACAACGCTGACTGAAAAAGACAAAGAAGTCATTCCTCAGGAGATTGACGATGTCAAGGCGCTCATAGCAGAGCATCAGGTAAGAGAACCATGGCTCTCTCCCCAAGCTCTTTCTCAGCACGGGTATGGGTAGCACTTCAAGCAGGCTAGAGATTTACAAAACTGAAAATCCTACATTGCTCACATATCTGACAAAAACATACACATTCCTTAAATGTTGTGCATCTGTTTGTTGCACTGTGTGAGTTTCATGTGTAAAGCAAAGAGGTAGCACAGAGAACAAAAAAAGTTCTTAAAAATGACATTGGCAAGAAAACATGTCAGTAGCACATGACTCTTTCGAGCTTTGTGTCCTTGCAGAGGACAAACTAAGGCCAGTCTTTTAACAGTGCAGTAAGTTGTAGCTTGAGGGCCTAAAAGTCTTGGACGCAAAATAAAACAAAAATAATCCAGAATACGTGTGTGCTAAATTAGAGTGCCTTTGTTTCAAGCATGATGTTCTGTGCTGTGTCCTCAAACGGAGAGCATGTCCTTCCGTCATTTCAAAGAAAACTGCTTCTGCTAAGGGGAATAGTTTTAACAGAAGATAAGCAGCATTTCTTCTCTTCTCTGTAGACTGCCTAAGGTCTGCAGAAAGTTTCTTTTAAACAAGTCAGTCAGACCTCCAAAGGAGATTTTGAGGCCTGGGAACTAAAAGAAGAAACAAAAATGACTGTTTGGTAAATAAAACTGACTCATGCAAACATTAGGTTTGTCCTAAACGTATTTCTAAAAAATCTTTTTGTAATACAAGTTTCTCTCTGTTGGACAAAACATATTTTTCTGTCAGTTTAGGTGGTGGTACAAATATTTTATTTTCATATTAATTAGAAAGTTGATGGACTTTATTGTCATCCACTCACAGAAGAACAATTAGTCCCATTGTACTTAAGGGGTTAAAAAGTTTATAGTATAGGTAGTCCTCAATTTATAACCACAATTAAGCCCAAAATTTATATTGCTAAGTGAGAAATTCATTAAGTGAGGTTTGCCCCATTTTATGATTTTTCTTGCTACATTTATTAAATGAATCACTGCAGATGTTAAATTAGTGACACGGTTGTTAAATGAATCTGGTTTCCCCATTGACAGAATGTTGCAATATGATCACATGAATAGAATAGAATAGAATAGAATAGAATAGAATAGAATAGAATAGA